GATAAGTATAATTACTCTCATGATTTTACAGATGAAGAAACAGGCTTATAAAGGAAGAGTAATTCTTCCATTGTTATCCAGGTAGTAAGTCACAGAATCAGACTTGAAAGCATCTTGGCTTGACTCAGTTTAGATCCAGTACCTATACTGCATCTTAAAGAAGGATATACTCATAGCAGCTATCCATGCTGCTTGAGAAGTGTGAATTCAGCTGCCCAATGCCTAATTTCTAAAGTATACCATTGCCCTGCAGATAAACCAAATGCTCAACTAAATATTCCCTAAGTATACACTAAATAATCATCTTCTTGTGCATGGTACTGTTCTTATCTTTGAGGATATAGCAGTTAATATGAGAGATGTTAGTGAAATTTACATTCTATCCAGAGAAACAGACATTTAGCAATTAATTGCATATGTTACCACTTTTGTGGTGAATGCTGTCTGGGAGCATATAGCGGAAGTTCTGACTGAGCCTGGCACAGTGATCAGAGGGCTTCCACAAGGAAGATATATTAACATTGAGCTCTGAAGGGTAAGTAGAAAAAAAAATTAACTAGAAAAGAAATGACGAAAGAGAATTCCTTGCAGAATAGTGTGTTTTCAAGACTAACTTGGGACATTGCAGTAAAAAAAAAAAAAGGCCAGTGTATTACAGTGAGAGAAAGAGAGAGAGAGAGAGACATCGATCAGTTGCTTCTCATACACACCCATGCCCTGACCAGGCATTGAACCCACATCATTTTGGTGTATGGGACAATGTTCCAACCAACTGAGCCACCTGACCAGGGCTCCATCTCCTCTTTGATAACAGTTGGTACCTGTTTTCTGTCAGCTGTGTGGTGCTGCAATATTTTGTGCTGAGGCAAGGAAAAGGCATGAGTTATAATCTCTCAGAAATATCAGGCATGCGGCAATTATAAGCCTTACTTCTGATAGAGCCCAGAATCAAGCTGGGAAATTATTAACTGAAGATAGTTAGGTGGAAGAAAATGTCTTCTCAGGTTGGCTGAGGGAACACTGATTCTGGAAGACAATCCAGGGAAAAGGAATTCTGTCTGGATAAATGCATTACCATCTTGAAGAGTCACAATGCACATCAGTATATTAAAGGAACTTCTAAGAACTACAATGAAAAAATATGAAAAACTCAATTCTTCATTATGTGTTTGACAAATATACATGACCAGGGAATCCTTTTCCAACACATATACACACACACCACTAATCAATATGATGAAGAACACACTTTGGGAAATTAAAAAAGGAAGAAGATGACGATGATGACGACACATTAGTATCGGGCAGGAAGACCAAGCAGTGGGGAGGGAAATAAAACGGCCCAGCATAGCAGAAAACTCCTAGAGTCCATGCCCAGACTGCAATATCCTGACTCTCAATATGTTTCAGTGATTCTGAGTCTGCACTACACATAAATTCATGCTGGGTTGATATCAATCCAAAGGCTGCCTGAGCTATTGGGTTGGCCTGTGGTTCCCTTAAGAGAAGAGCTTTTGTGCATTCCAAGATAATAAATCAAGCAGTGATCACTGATGAGGACAACTGCCTCTCTCACTTCTAAATTCCAAAATTTGAAGTAAAGAAGCTGTAAAAATATCTATTTTGTTGTTCCTGAAAGTATGAGATTGCCTATTAAGAAAGATATCAGCTTGAAAAATTTGGAAGTAAAGCTAAAAAATGAAGAAGTGACATAATGAAAAGATGGGGTCAGATAGAGTAGTTTTACAATCCTGGCTTAGTTGTGTGACCTTGGGCAACTGACTTAACCTCTCTGAACCTCAGTTATCATATCTGTAAAAAACATTTCTTGCAGAATAATGCAAGCATTAGAAACAATATATTCTCATGATTTATTTTCTCATTGTGAAAAATATATATGCTTAATATGTAGTAAATATTCAATTAATAAAAATATTTCTATTATTTCAATTAGCAGAAAAGAATTGGTAGTATAGGACATACAGTACTCATTTGATTCCTATACTGTAAATATCTTCTGACATTATGTCACTTTTTTGTCTTGTTAATGTAAAGCATAGCTTGGGTTCTAAAATAAATGCCTGTTTAAAAATCTCAACTATGATGTCCTTTCTGAACTTGAACAAACCACATTACCTTTTACTGCCTCAACTTTCTAACCTACAAATTGGGACAATAATACTATTTATTTCTTATTTTTTTATAGTTCTTGTGAGAATTCAGTTAAATTGTGCACTGTGCTGTAGATATACTTAAGAACTCATTTTTCATTGTTGTTAATATCAACATTCCTCAATGCTTTATAAAATGTTTGCATTTGAATAGTGTACTCCAACAAAAAAATGATTGGGCATAAGGCAAAACTAAACAAATGATTTTCTCTTTTATCTCCTCCTCTTCACTTGCCACCTGTGGCATTCCTTGGCCCTAGGTAACTGCTCTTTGAGTCTTAGCTGTCATTTTGAGCATTCACTTCTTGCTGAGTCTAGTCTACATTAGCTACAATTAAATGATTTCCAGTGTGGCCTTAGGAGAAGAAGGTTCACATTGGAATGACAATTCCCAAGGCAGCACCATCTTGACTAGTGACAATTTATGGTATTTCCATCTTCTTCATTGATTCTAATATTTTCTCCTTTATTGAATTTGTAGTTAACTACAAATTCAAATCTTTTTGGCTCTAAATTCCATTTTCCTTTTACAACAAAACAACAGCAACAATCTCATTAATAATAAAAACTAACATTTATTGATTATTTACTATGTGCAGAAATCATACCATAAATTACCATAATCATAAATTATTTATTTGTATTATCTTATGTAATCATAACAGCAAACCTTTTAATGGTAGGCATCATTATTATAGATGAGGAAATAAGGCCCCAGAGGTGAAGTAACCTGCTCAAGGGCACACAGCTAAGAGGTGGTAGAGCCAGGATTCAAATTCACTTTTGGCTGATCCAAGAACCCACACCTCTCACGACTTTTTGTTGCTGTTTGAGAGGCATATGGTTAAATACTGGGGTTTTTTGTGGGGTTTCTTTTTTGGATTCTAGGCTCTCAACAAGGCACAATTTGAAAGGGGTGGTATTGGTAGTGGAATGAAAAAAAATGGAACTTTTATTTTTTAGTGAGTTTTGTTGACATAGTAAGGCTATGTCTGTAACAAAACACTTCAAAACTCAGTTGCTGAACAGGCATTTATTCTCATTCTCGCAAGTTGCCAAGATAACAAGTTCAGCTTATTTAGGCTGCAGTTATCTGGACAGCCCTGTTTCATGCTGTAAGTTGGCTGGGTTCAGAATGTGGATCTGCTGTGTACACATTTGTTCTAGAAACAGGCTGAAGGGGCAGTAGTTCCCTGGGGCATTCTCTTCACATAGCCCTGAATCACTGAAAACAAGAACCAAGCCAAACTGTGCAAGCACATTTAAGGTCCTTGCTTGCATCACATCCACTAACGTTCCACTGACCAAAGCAAATCACATAGTCAAGGTCAACATCAATGGGCCAAGAAAGTACACTCTTCCACAGGGACAGGGGGAGTGAAGTGGATAATTGTTATCATATGATTAGTGCTGTAACCTTGCAAAATTATGAGGCGGTTAGAAAACTAGTCTTCCTCCTTATGGGTTTAAATTTGTATTTAAGAATTTATATGTATCCTTGGAACATGTGCGTATTTGTGTTTGTACTCACAGCTTGCCCATTGTTGATCCAACATTTACCAAATAAGTGTTCAAAAAAACAGAGAGACATATCTTGAACCATTCTGGTGAGAAGTCTTTGAAAATAGCTGGATGTAGAAGGCAAAAGCTGCTTAGAACAGTCTTTCTGGAATTTGTGGAAAAATGTTTTAGTTTGAATGAATAATTAAGACTTAGGAGAAAGGAATGGAGTTTGAAGGAAAACCACCCGCCCTGCGTAGGAAGGTCAGATTCCGAAATGGTGTGGGAAGAGTCCAGGGATGGAGGTTTGAAGAAAGACAGAAAAGAGGGCCTGAAGGCCGGTGTCAATGTTGGGAGCTGGGGGCTTCTGAGGAGGGGACTTCTGGAGAGGATTTAATGCTTAGCTGCTATAATCTGACCTATAAACAAAGTCATGTTTAGTGAACTGTTGCAAATCATTTCTCTCACATGTAGTAAGTTCCTTTAGGTTTTTCTCCTCAACACTGCAGTTAAGGCTCAGTCATAGTTTTTATGTTGTTAAAAAGTAAAAGACTGAGCTATAAGGAAAAATAGCATATACCTATTGAGCTATTTTTAAGTTGCCTTTAAGAAAGCCCATTTTTCTTTTTTAATTTATTTTTATTATATTTTTCCCATTACCATTTATCCCTCTTCCACTTCCACTCACCCCTCCCTTCCCCTACAATCACCACACTGTTGTCCATGTCCATGAGTACTTTTGCCTTTTTGCTCAATCCCTCTACCTACTAACCCTGCCCTCTGATTCAGAGCTGTTAGCCTGCTATGAATGAGTTTGTCTCTATTTCACTTGTTAGTTCAGTTTGTTCATTAGATTCCACTTATGAGTGAAATCATGTGGTATTTGTCTTTCACCAACTGGCTTATTTCACTTAGCATAATGTTCTATGGGTCCACCCATGCTGTCGCTCAGGGTAATATTTTCTCCTTTTTTACAGCCAAATAGTATTCCATTGTTTAAGTGTGCCATAGTTGTTTTATCCACTTATCTACTGATACTTGGGCTGCTTCCAAATCTTGGTGATTGTAAATAACGTTGCAGTGAACATAGAGGTGCTTATACTCTATTGAATTCATGTTTCACATTTTTCTAAAAGGATTTAACTTCTTAATGTAAACCTTCAAATTTTCTTTTTGATAGTTCATTTGGGAAACACAGTAAAAGGAGATCCTATTTTTATTGGAAACATGAGCTTTTTTCTTTTTGACTTAGTGAGAAATCATTTATTCTTCTGATTTATAAGCATATTTTACATATAGTGATTAATACATCAAGTGTATAATGTGGGAGTTCCCTTAAGAATGCTAAGACCACATATATTAAACTCAGCTACACATTATATTAGGCTATTAGGCAAATGTCACTTTTAATACCACAACACATACATATTATACTTTTTCTTATACTGACAGAAGAACATGCCTTTCAAAAAATATTTTATTGGATGAAACTTTCTTATTCTCACGAAAATTTTGGTTCTTTAATATAATTTATTATGCCTTTTAAAATTGTTTGATAAAAGCATTGGTACATTATAAATACCTGTAAAGAAAATATAGTTTAAAATTTTGAGGGAAATATTATATAATTTTTCTCTTTTATATTTTCACAAAAATTCACACAGGCACTAAGAAAGACTGACAAAAATATTTTTTTTTTTTTTTTGTCTGAACAACATACCCCAGGTTGGAAACATTCAAACGTGACTTTAAATATTAAAGCTTCTCTGGAGTGAACCTTTGGCTACAATCCAATGAGTTGTTTGGGGTTTTAACCAGGAAAAGATACTGTTAAAAGAATGAAAAGAAAGCTTCAGACAATTAGCACTAGGCTAGGAATGGGGAAAGGATGAGATTTCATTTATTACTTTTATTGGGCTCTCTAGATCTTAGCTTTGTTTTTAGTTGAAAATTTCTCTCATAACTCCCTGGTCCTTTTCAGCTTTAACACTTTTGATCTGCTGCAATTTTCAGAATTCTATGTAACACTCCATACTGAACAGCATGAGGAACTCCCAAGAACAAAGTGATACTACAGTTCTTTTAGGAGAATATCCTTGAAGCTTCAGGGTATTTGAAAATACCCTTTTACTGCACACATTCATATGGTACAATAGGGGATGAAATTTTGTCCTATAAACCATACTTCAAACCAAAGCAAGTGGCAGACTCTAGTGTTTTCTTCTTAGTCTAGCTCATGTGTAGCCTGATAAAGTTCAGACTTCATGGAAGTATTGCAAATAGCACACCCAATGGGAGACTGCACTGTAGGTGACTAGAGCCTTTGTGAGCAGGTAGAGAATGGGAAGCTAGTGGGTTGGCAGTAATGAATTAGAATAAATGGGCATCCAGCCATGGTAAGATTAAGTGAACATGTCAAACTAGGTATCAGAGGTACTTTCAGAAGATTAAAATACCATTTTGGAGGCCAATAATTTAATTAAGTCATGGAAAATTCTCATAATTATCATACAGATCCTGTCTGAAAGAAGTTAAGATTTTTTTTCTAATGCATTTACACTTTGAACATGCTCATTTAGTGCAACAGTGGGCAAAATAAAATGCCTATTGAGTGTTTGCCGGTGAGGTGGCTGCCATCAGCAGCATGGAGCAGAGCACCTTGGGAACCGGGCATTCAAGTCTAGCCGAGCAGCTGCTACTTAGCTCCAAGCAACTGTCGCCACAAGGGAAGATGGGCCTGAGAATCAGGTTATATGTGAAATCTCAAATTTTCAATAGTCATTCACATTTTTAAAACATTTTACAAGCCAAATAAAATCTCCCTGAAGAACAAATATGGCCTGTGGGCTGCCACCTCATGTCCTCTGAATTGAAGCTTGGAAGCAATTTCATGAGAATTTGTATACTCTTCAGTTGTAAGATTGTAGAAGAGCCTTTAGTGTCAAGGAGTGATCACTTAGTTTCAAAGATCCAGAAAAACCTATTCTAATGAATACAATTTTAAAAACAAACAAACCTCCCATTGGCTCTTCCAATATGAATATTTCTCCTGTTAGATTGGTTCTCTGTGTTATGAGCAGTTTTCTGTTATTATTGCTAAAAAAAAATTACAGCTAGGAATTTGCTAAGTCCCACATGTAAGTTTGTTCTAAGAAGGTAGTATAAATTAGTTCTCTCAGTATTTATTAATAGTTTGTGGCTAAGACAAGTGAGGAGAATCTTGAGAAGGGGAAATACAGGAAGCCCAGAGCATACAGGTGAGGGTCAGTCGCCTTTAGATCCGCAGAGGCCTCTCACATGGCACACCAGGCAAAGAGTGTTCTAACACTGCTCAAACCAGATAACACAGACTCTGACGTCTGTTCGTGGGTCTAATTCACCCAGCTTTTGCCCCCAAACAACTGGATGTTCATTCCCTGAATAAGTAGTCCTTTGTAATAGAAAAGATAGGATCTGGGTCTAATTGTGAACTCTTTTGTTGGAGACTTTCCAAAGCCTTCTGTGACATCAAAATTCAAAGAACCACAGGGCAAAGTCAGGGGACAGCTATCAGAACAATTTTCTTCCTCTCATTCTTTGTAGATTACTTTTCAAATTAATCTATTGCCCAGCTCACGACCTTTCTTTTGAGAGATGAAATGGGAGGGCCAAAGGAGGCGGTCTAATGTGGTTTGAGGACCGTGTGTGAACTGTGGCTCTAGAAAGAACAAACACTTTACTTGTGTCAGCAGAGAAGAGACACTTTGAAAGAGCTATGATCCATTCAGGATGCTGGATTTACTATATGAGCTCATCTCTTTCAAATGTCCAGTTTGGGGAGAAAAAGGAAAAGTATCGCCAAGAATATTATAAGCATAAGAATCAATGACAAAAACAACTACTTCAGGCACAGGCAAAATCTAAGGGGAAGAAGCATGAATATTTCCAACTCAGGACCATGACTTATTTTAATTTTCTTCATTCAAAATGTCCACCAGAGCTTGCAGCAGGCGGTCATCTCTGTGCTTGTAAGGTTTGGTGTTATAGAAAACATCAACGTAGTCGTTATACAGACTGTCCTCAGCGTCTTTAAGCTGGGAAGGTTTGTTCAGCTTTTCCAGGGCTTCGTAGAAATTTTCATAAGGGACGTTGAGCTTTGCACTTGGAGACTTCTTTGGTGATTGCTTTGGTGGTGAGCTTTTGCTGAAAGCACTTTGTAGGAGTCGCAGCATGGCCTCAGACGGGGCGCCCTCCACCAGGTTGTCCCTTCTGTTTCCCACGCCGCCGCCGCTGCCGCTTTTTGTAGTCAGTGGATTTTCTTTCAGGTTCTCTTCTGTGGGCTGCTCCTAAAATACAGATATCCACCAACAAAGGGAAGAAGGCTCATTACTTAGTGCTGGGCAGGCCGGCTGCAGCACAGGCTCCGCTTCCCCTCAAGAGGCAGTTGGGGAGTAGACAGAGTGTGAGGCTTCGAGTCACACTGACTCAGGTACCTGGGCACTTTTTAAACTCTAACTTCACTTATAAAACGGGAGTAAGAATGCCTCCATTTCTGGTGGATTTAAAGACTAAAATGGTGTATTAAGTGCTTATACTTATTGGTCTCCTTCACTTTGATAAGTGAAGTGGAGTTCAAGTTAGGGAATTTAATCATTTTGAATTGATAAATTTTAATTTCCAAATTCTGGATGAAAGGATAAATGAATAAGACAGTAGGGTTTCATTCTATGGAAAATAAACAATTTACCACAGCCACTCCCTTTCTTCCTTACTCGTGTTTAACTCACTCCTGCCTAAAAGTTGGGGCAGCTTCACTCACCACATTGTCAATCTAGAGTTCAATAAAGAACATGCCAAGAAGAATGTATCTGCACAGACCTCGCCTGACTCCGCCATCTTCTCCACCCCTCTTCTGTCGTTCTGCACGGTGTTGTAAGATGTGTACACACGAGGCTGCTTCATGTGCTCTGGCTGAGAGGAGGTCCCATGAAAAATCAGCTTCCAGTTCACAATTCTCCCTTCATTTTGCATTCTCCCGGACTGATGGATAAGCATACATCATCTTAGTGTGTGTTCTGAGTAACATAAAACAAGCTCCTTCAAAATATCTATAAAGGATTTTATAGTTAAAATCTAATTTGAAATTTCTGTGCATTCCATGAGTAGAGCTCTGTGTAAAAAGAAAGAAATCGCTGGAGGAGGGGGATAAAGGGTGATGGAAGGAGACTTGACTTGGGGTGGTGAACGCAGAATACAACATACAGATGATGTGTTATAGAATTGTACACCTGAAACCTATGTAATTATATTAACTAATGTCACCCCAATTAAACAAAAGAAAAAATTAAAAAGGAAAAGTAAAGAGCCCTGACCAGGTGGCTCAGTTGGTTGGAGCATTGTCTTGTACACCAAAAGGTTGTGGGCTCAATCCCTGGTCAGGGCACATGCCTAGGTTGCAGGTTCCACCCCCATTTGGGATGTGTATGGGAGGCAACCGATTGATGTTTCTCTCTTACATGGATGTTTTTCTCTCTCCCTCTGCACCCCCGCCTTCCTCTGTCTCTAAAATCGTTAATGTGTCTTTGGGAGAGGATTTTTAAAAGGAAGATAATAAAAGAAAAGAAAGTGAAAAAAAAAAATCAGTGGATTCACTCTTGGTATGAAAATTGACAGTTTATAGGCTTGAAGATTCAAAAAATTATTAATTGCTTCACTTAATTAAAAAAGCAGAACTCTTGGAGGCAGGAGTAGGTAGGGCAGGAGAGAAAAATAAGGGGAAAATGGGGACAACTGTAAATGAACAAAAATAGAAAATTTTTTAAAATAAAAAAACAGAACTCTCTATATGAACCTCCTTTTCTATAGAGGATGTTCTTAAAAAAAAGTTGACTGTACCTTCTATAAACAGAATTACATTTACCAGTTATCACCTTGTAGAAACATTCCATTGGTGAAAAAAGTTAGCTTTTATGGAGCATTATCAGTAGGCTTCAGCATTAGTCAGCCCTTAAAACTGTACATTATAGGAAGAGTAATATTTTTCAGAGACTCAAAACTATGTTAAAAATAATGCACTGAAATCTAAAATATCTTTTAAAAAGAATTTAAAAGTATAGAGTCAAATTCTGCAGACTTATCTTGGTGAATAGATTTTCTTAGTTTCCTGATGGTGAAACTGAATAAAAGAGTGGAGGCCATGTTCATGAACAGGACCACCAACTAAGGACATTTTCTTACTCTACCTAGGAATTTTTACAACTTCCATTTCTAAGTTACAATTTTAGCTGTCTTTAAGAGACAGCTATTCTCAGAGAAAAAAGTAATAATAACTTTAAAATTTATATTAATTTGGCATTTTCAGGAATTTAAAATCATTTCTTTTAAAAAAGATATTTAGACATTGAAACCTGGTGCTGCTGATGCTTATAACACATCTCTCTCAGGAGAACTCAGACCAAAACAGCATTTATTTATATGCTCACCTATAGAAAATGCTGGAGAAATGATGCAAAAATAAATAATTCGGCTGTATAATTTAGTTGTATAAATATTTGGATTTTTGCTCAGAAACTCCTTGCTTTATTTTTGTGACTGTATGTTATAATTATAGAGTGTTAGTACACACAGGGAATGAGAAATGCTTTGGAGTTTGTGTCATAACTGAAACAAAACAAAACAAAGTAATTTAAAATAAGCTGTCTTGTCTAATAAGTAAGCTACTTTCAAATAGCCACTACAGTAAATATTTGTAGTAGTTCCTTCATGTGACTCTAGCAGAGTGACATAAACAAAGCTGGTCTAGCATTTAACTATGTTTGTGAATATAGCTCACGCTGGTGAGTAGATCATGTGGCTGGCTTCATTATGACATGGGAACATTTGGATTTGTCCCACTGTCTGTCACATTGTGTATCAGAATATCTACTCTTCCTTCTCTATGGATAGAACCTAATCTTCTTTTTTTTTCTTAAATCTATGTAGCCAAGTAGGCAGGACTCAAACCACTACATCTTTTCCTTACTTCAACTAAGGAGTAATCAAAGTTCCTTGGAGCCCTGATTAATGATGACACCAACCTTAGAACTCCTTCAAAGTGTTTAAGCTTGTGTTTCTGCAGCCTTTCATCCCCACTTACCATGTCTGCAATTCGCAAAGTCCAGGTGCCTATTGGATTCTCTCCCCACGTGTGGACAGACATGAAGTCCCAATTTTTAAAGCCATTAGGAGACGTATCCCGCTCTCTTTCAGCCAACAGAACGGTGTTGGTTCCTATTTTCATACAAAAAACACAAGTCAATAAATGTTCTAACAGTTCCGATAGGACACACTGTAGCATCTGAGAACAGAAGATGAAAGCTGGGAGAGATTAGCCCTCCAAATTTTCCCTTTGAGTATAAGACCAGGATAGATACATTCACAAGACAAAAAATGCCTTTATCCACAGTACTTTGCACATTGCATGACATAAAATACATTCTCAATAATGTGGAAAAATAGATAATGAATGAGTATATTAAGGTTTATTTGAATAAGGAGAACTCAGAGAACCACGTTACAAACTATTGTACCTTAGAGAGTCAAAGACCTAAATACATTTTAATGGAACTATCATTTTGAAATTTAAAAAGAAATTAAAAATTTAATAGGTAATTGAGTCTATAATCTTGTGTATATGTAAAAAATAAAGCTATATTAATTTCACAATCTCTTATATAAAACTACCAGTAGGAGTAACTCTCAATTTTGAAATTCAAGCTTCCTTTAGATCAACGAATAATATTTCTAAGTGAAAGAGCCAAATGAATTACATCATTTTCAAATGAAAAAGTTTTCTACCAATATTTTAGGCCAATTCCAAGATATCTAGAAAGTGTAACTCCAAAATTAATAGAACCCACTCCAAGCCTCTAAGTTCATATCCAAGAAGATTATAGAGATAACTCATCTTTCCTCACAAATCACCTATAGACATTGAATTTAGTCAAAGATTGAATCCTACAAAAACATAAGAGTGTTGGGATAGCTTCTCCTGGTTGGACTGTGGTTTGTGTTCACAAGCTCTTTCCCATCCAAGATCGCATCAGAATTAGCACCCTCTCAGGAAAAAGCAGATGTCCATATATCATATTGTGTGGCCTTAATGTATCATTGTGGAAAATTTGTTAGTCTTCTCAATCCTCTTTCATGGCTCAGAATTCTCAGTTTTTCAATTGATTCCTTGGATATGCCTGATATATCTGTCAACTTTATTAATTAATTACCAGAGCAATTATCACTACTGTGTTATCCTAGAGAAAAGAATGATAGACCAGTGACCTGGGAAAATGAACACAATTTGAAAATGGTATTAAGGTATTAATTAAACTCCAGAAAGGCTTATTAATTAAAGGTATTATTTGAATAGGCCTCACTCTTTGCTTCTCTAAGGACCAGTAGGAATGAGCAGGGCAGAATTCTGATGATAAAAAAAGGCAGTATTTATATCCTCACCTGCAAACATGTTTTTACTAATTGGAGAGAGAGAGAAAAAACATTGATGTGACGGAGAAATATTGGTTGCCTCCCATATGTGCTCTGACCAGGGATTGAACCTGCAACCTAGGTATGTGCCCTGACCAGAAATCAAACCCACAACCTTTTGGTGAATGGGACAACACACCAACCAACGGAGCTACCCAGCCAGGGCATTAGCAGCAGCATATATTTTAAGACCTGAAAATATCTATTGGGAGATTTAGTTTTATAAAGAAACAAAAACACTCACTGATTTGAAATAATTCAGTTTACAGTTAAAAAGTTAAACAAATGGTTTAAAAGAAATTTTTGAAGTTTATAAAAGTTTACCAGCAGCAGAGGTGAGTGTGACACGAAGGTCTCCTCTTCGAGAATATTCAATTGTTGCTTCAAATTGTACATGTTCCAGGGACTTGATAGCATTTTCCTGTCCTTCACAAGCTCTTGTTGGAATCTCAATGATAACTTCTCCATTAGCTTTCAGAGCTCTAAAGATATTAATGAATCATCACTGAATAAAGTGTATTTCGTCTTCCTTGCATTTTATGCAAATATGTACATATCAGTCTTGATTAGATCTCAGCTAAGCTTGTTGAGTCAGATATGTTGGGTCAACCAGATGTGGTCTATGTAAAAGCAGTATGATAAAGGTTCTTTTGTTGAAGAAAAGTCATTATTCACATAGCACTAAGGTATGAAGTGAGGCTCTTGAGTGTTTGGATAATACTGGCTGGCACGTACTGTGTTTTATCAATTCTAAGATGCATTTTTTAAACATTTTAACATCTCTAAATTTGGGATAAAGCTTAAAACTGATGATTGATAATAGTTCAATTAGCAATGATTATTCTTAGTGTCATATAAAACAATGGTCACCTTATACTTAATGCATGATTGTAGGTAGGCTAGAGAGGCAAATGCAAATATGCTGATATGATTTGCAGATCTTTGATCTCAGTATTCCCCATAGACTCACAGAGAACACTAGCAAATGCTACCTCTACCTACTTCAGAAAGGTAGGTGAGGAGAAAATCAGGCAAAATGACAAACATGTTATCAAATAATGCTACAGGAACACTATTTTGTTCAAAATTCCTGACACACTTACCTGGGCTCAAAGTCATTGTCCTTTACAACACACTCTTTCTTCTCAGGTACACCATTCCAGGTTCTTGGATCAGCTAAGTCCACCAGAGCTTTGGCATTTAGCAGCCCGAATCCAAATCGACTATTCACCATCAAGCCTGCCCCGTTCTTTTTCCATCCAGGGTTATTGGCCAGTGGGTCATACTCAGAGGTCCAGACAACCAAGTGCTGCATATCTCGCCAGGTCAGATTTGGGCTGGATAGAAAGTGACCCAAAATATCTTTCAGGGACAAAAATGAGGTTTCCTTGCAAAAGCAAATGCTAAAAACAAGCATCTCCATTCAGAAATTATGCAGTACCTTTTGCAACTGTACTTATGTAATTCTGTTTTGTGTTACTACTCGTATGTCTTTTCATTCAGAATTCAAAATATGGTACAGAAAACTTCTCCCCATACCACATAAGTTAAGCTTTTACTATGAGTAAAATTTTGTGTTCAGCATTGTAGAAATGTAGGACTTGGTTCATGATTTCTAATTAGTTAAATCTAATTAACTGTAGCAAAAATTTAAAACAAGAGCACTTCTGACACAGGCTAGTGAACCAGGACAAGTGGAATAGGGAAACTGAGGCAGACAGCTGACAAATGGCCGAGCAATTTACAGCCAGATACAGAAGGCCGCCTCCTTAGAGATAACATGTAGGCCTCAGCTGTATTTCAGCTCGAGGCCCAGAAAAGCAGCAAAAACAGCTGGGCGATGCCAGGACCAGCTGCAATGATTAATGACCCCCTTCCCTGTCACTGTGTCTCAGTGAGACCATGACCCTGAAAGGGCACACCTGGAAAACTGAGGCATATTCTGCTGAAACCCCCCTACTCTGAGACCTTCCCTAAAATTCCCACCTACAAGAGAGAAATAAAAACTCAAAATGTAGGACCCAGCACATGCTCTCCCGCTGGGGAGCAGCCTGCACCAGTCCCTCCCCCACCCCTTCTGCCTTTCCTTCCCCCGCAGGAACACATCACCTAAACTCTAAGGGTTCTCACCAGACTGCAGCCAGGGAAAAATGGGCAGCGGCAGCTCATCCCAGGCTAATCCCCTGAACCTGTCTCCAAGGTCCCTTTTTCTCTGACTTCCCAGTGAGCTAAGGCAGCCCAGCCTAGGCTCTCCCTTATTGATTCTTCTATTCTAGGCCCTTCCTTGTTTCATTGTCGCCAGCTTCAATAAACCCGGGCTCACATTGTGAAATTTTCCTACACAAGTACAGGAACCCACACACTTCTGGCTGGCCCTAGGCAGACCCACTCAGGGCCAGCCCCCCTGTCTAGTAACAGTTCCTTTGTGTCTCCCAATCTGCTGCTGAAGGCCTTGTTTCCTTCTTAAGACTCAGATTTTAAAGACACAGGCTGGCTTCCTACTCAAATACTTTTTGTCTCTTCCTGTATCAAAAATGTCAAGAAACTCTTAGCTGCTTGAGATCAGTCTTGCAAGGCACTATGCTTAATACTATAAGGATGTTTGAGGAGGCAGTTATTGTTTTTAAGAAGCTTACAATCCAGTAAAAGAGCTAAGTTTTTTAAAAATAATTATAATAAATCTATTGAATACTGTGTTTATGGCATAATGCAGTGTAGAAGTTTAGAGGAGAGAGGATTCTTTTGGGATAAGAAGATCTAGGTTGGCTTTGCTGGAAGGGAATATTTGAGCTGGATTTTGAAAAGTGGATAAAATGTCAAGAGCTAGAGTGAGAATAAAGAGGGTGAGGCTTGGAGCAATACCTGTGAGGAGGTCAAGTACAGGATGTGGCCCAAGTACAGGGAGCAGTCTGGTTTGCCGGAGTAGGAAGAGGTGATGAGGAGGGCTGGGCTGGGTGGTGAGGGCCTTGACTCCGGGAAAGGGGCTCAGACTTCATAGTCTGGGCAATGGGGAATCATCAAGAAATTTTGAGCAGGGAAATGGTATAATCAGAAGTCTTGATAAAGTTATTTTAGCAAATTGGAGGTACACAGATAGTTGAATCTATTATAATGCAGATGAAACCTTTCCTGATAACCCTATTTAAAATTTCAATTCTCCTCACATGCTCTTGAGCATTCTTATCCTGCTATACTTTTTTCTTTAGGTAGCATTTATCACCTTTGAACAGAGTGGACAACTCATTTGTTTTGTATATTATTAATGTCTGCCTCCCTGCTAGGATTAGGCATGAGAAGGGCTGAGATTTTTGGGCTGAGATTTTTATCAGTCTTTTTCTCTGATGTGTGCCTAGCACTCAGAAGAATTCCAGGCACAGAGTATATGCCAAGTAAATATTGGTTGGTTGAATGAATGTGATTGAATTCATTCAACCAACCAATTGATTGAATGTGACTATGTGTTAACTAGCGCCAAATGTAATTTGAAAACTTATTGCTGTTAGTCATTAGAGTCTTTCAAGATCTCAAGTTTTCCCTTATCTTTGAGGCCTACATTGTTTCTATTAAGCCAATAAAACATTATCTAAGAAATAAATGCCCATGTCTTTAGTCCTCAAGGCTTCTATCTTATCACTAAGTTGTGAAACAACCCTCAAGGGAATCTGGCTCAATTTGCTATTTTCTCCCTAGAGCCAGTAATATGTTGGTGAAGTTGTCCCCTGGTATGTACCGCAAAGGCTACTTGGCAGGCCTCACAGGGAAGCTCCTTCCCCACACCAGCCCAGGCGCACAGCCCATCGATTGTGGTCTCTCTAGGGAGCTGCAGTCAAGGACTCAGGCCCCTTCCTTGGTCAAGCTCTTCCGGTGTTTACATTTCTGGCCCCTTCCACCTTCATTCTTAGGTCTCCTCATCTGAGGCCTTGGGCAGCGGTCTCCTCTGCCGAGGCCTCCTTACAGAGGGAGTGGGAGAAACCTTGAGGACATTTTCCCCCCTCTCACGACCCAGGACTTCTCCACTGCCAGCCTCCTCCAAAGCCGTACCCCATCCCCAGAGTCCATAAAACTACCAGTCCTTTTGTTGGGGTTCCCTCACCAGTGAGGAAGAGCCTCATGAATGTGGTGCTCCACCTGGCCCTTGACTGATGCATTATTCCTTGGGTGAAAGTGAACCGGGGCAGTCAGGGTTTCCTCCAGTTTTAAACTCTGGTTTATACCATTGCCATAAGCAATGAAAGGCTTAAGTCTTCGTTTTTGGTTTGTTGCTTTAATTGTCTACTGTGACACCTAGCAGCTCAGTAGGCTCTCCGCTCAGCTGAGCTCCTGACAAACATACCACCCAGAGTATGACCGGCGGAGGCCTGAGAAAGACTCCAGGTTGGTGACTCCCTTGAGTCCCAGACTGCTTGCACCATGGTCCCCTGGTACACCTGTAAATATGGTAATTCCTGAGTCCCATCCTAAGCCTCCTGCATCAAGATATCTGAAGGCAGGGCATGATTCTATGTTTATATTTGAAAAAACTGTCTAACCAGTTCTATGTTATCGCTAAAATAAGAATTAGAAGAAAGAATACAAGCATATTACTGAGGCAATTAGAAATTAATTCAAATCATGGAGGTCAGAATAGGCAATAACAGAAGGCATATTAAACTATGTTCAACTACCAAAGACCTGTGTGACCTTAGGCAGGTCACCTCATCTCCATGGGCCTGAGCTGACTCATTTCTAAGAATAGAGGGATGAGTATAATCTCCAGAATTCCTCACTATTCAGACCTATCTGCCCAATATTATAAATACCTCACTATAGATCTTGTCTCTGCATTGGCCACCCCACCACATTCAGAAATAATTAACTAGCTGAGCAGAAATGTAGAAATTAATTCTGAACTAGAAAGCATTTTATTGAAATTCTTGCATCCATCCAGTCTTTTAAAGGGAGTTTCAGGTAGAAGCCTCTTATCAAGGTGGTCAATGGGCAACATACCACTTTCCTATTTGGACCATCAATGTGAGCAGGTGTATGGAGGTTGGGATGAGTAAGTGCTCTGAGAAGGCATAAGGCAGCGTCTTGAAAATAAAACACAAGGCATAGACTTCCTATATTTCTAGAGTAGAGCCTTTGTTTTACATTTAATTACATGTTTTATTGTTTTTTATTTTCTTTTACCTATTTTTTGCAAAATGTTCAAGGGGGCATCATTGCCATGCAACTTGGAAAATTAAGCCCATTGTGATTGCATTTCATAAATAAAAAGGAGCTGCTAATAATAGTACATCCCATTGCTGACAGCTTCCCTTTGTTAATTAGTGCTCACAGCATCCACAATAATTAAAATTTTTAAAGCTGCATTAGGTTGCTAATCAAGGATATGTTTATAGAAAATAAGGACTGTGGAATTAAACACTGAAATTAAGCATTGCTTCTAATTAGAGAATGTAGGTAAAGTAACCTGGAAACAAAATTCTAAAATGAAAGAGTCTTAGAAGCGACCTGGTTTAGCCTCTAATCACATGTAGGTAAGTCTAGTATGTTGAAGATTTTCTAACCTGGAGACTTTCCAACATTTTACCACCCACTGAGTCAAGGATTTATTTGATGTAATTTATCCAGAGGTTTCATGCAGCATTGAAAATTGTTTTTCCTTTCTCCAGCCTTTAATGAAAACAGAAGATTGGTTCATCTGTTTGTTTAATACCTCCAAAGATATAAAGGGGATTCAATGTTTCACTATAGAATTTGTGTTCTCTATTAAAAATTATTCTGATACCTTTGCTGTCTCCATGGAAGACTAGGGTTATTGCCTGCCATCTTTCTTATGTATCCTCACTACGTAATAATAATGTGCCATAGGCATTTATTCAAGGAATTTCTCTCTTTTTAGTGCCTATTAAGTACCTAAATGGGTATCTTCATAATTACAGCTACATGAGGTACAGGAAAAAACCGTTGTAAATGAACTCTTTATAGCATTGTTTCTCTAAATTTGGTTAAGGTAACTGCTAGCATTCAAACTGCCTAGGATACTTATTTAAAATGGGGATTCCTAGGCCAAATATGAGAAAATTCTGAATCTGAGTTGATAGCAGTGAGACCTGGGAATCTGCATACTGCATAGACTGCCAAGGTGATTATTATGTATGCTGGTGTTTGAGAAACACTCTTCTAGGGAAGAAAATTCCTCATCCATATTTGATCCAGAAACTACTCTTTCTCCTTCTCATCCCCCAGTGCTCCAGCTAAGTCATAATTAATGCAACATAATAAGTAGTAGTTTGCTTGTGACAAGGTGTTTTTTATGAGAAACTCATAAACACATGAGAGTTATGATGTTCCTTTATCAGTCTCAATCTTGTATCTCCCCTTTGTTTGGGAGGAAGGTAGGCTCATTCAACATTCAGCATTTCCTCTCTGTCAGGACCATGGGAGGCAGCTTGGTCTATAGTTGCTGATAGCACAGGCTTTGGGGTCAGACAGACCGGAGTTTGAATTTCTTTTAGGATCTTGGTTACATTTCTTAAACTCTCTAAGCCTCAGTTTCTTTGTTTATAAAATGAAACTAATAATTCCCATGCCACAAAGATGTTGTAAGGATTAAAATCAGCATTGTACATAAAGAGGTTAGCACAGTGCCTGATTCATGGTAAGAACCTGACAAATACTGAATGTTATTATTCTCAATAAATTTAACCCATAGTTGTTGTTTTTTTTCAGTCTCCACAGTTGTTCCTTGAAGACCAGCACATAGTGAAATAATTCTCCCAATCTTGACTGACTAGGGAAACTTCTAGAAATTCTGGCATTCAGATTTTCTGAAATAATTGTCTTGATATATAAACAATTGAATATAATTCAGAACACTGTTTAGGAAAAGACATCTCAATAATTTCTATGTACTTTAGTTGAATGTATACATAAACGTTAAGATAGATTATGTCCATCTTACTAATTACTGAATCAAAATAAAAGGAATTAAATGATTATTATGTGCACCAGAAAAATCAGTCTTAATGTCTCAAATTATGAACAGTGTGCAAATCTGATGTAACCTGCAAACCGTTCCCCTGAAAAATGCCATGCATACACTCACAAACAGTTCTGCATCTAGTTTCAAAAGAGCTCATGGACCCCTGGAAACTCATCCATGTATTTGATAGCAATCCATGGAGCCCCTGCTTTATAAATAGTCCAGTAGAAATTAATTGAGATTAATGAGGCTAGACCATTCTTAGGTAATTTTCTCCTTGTACAGAAAAATAAGTTTAAAATTTTACAAATTAGATATTAAAATTTTAATTCTCATGTAAAATTAACATTACATCTATTCACTAGATTGGTGTTTCTACTATACTGGTCACTGGACAAGGATGGGCTAGTTCTATTTCCATGCATCTTATAGGTGTTGGGTAGAAAAGATTTAATATTTTAAGGATGGTTTTCTTTTAACAGGTCCTTGGAGCTAACAGCTTATATCTTGAAATCTTAAATATCATGGCTTGTTATACCACCTGTGTATAACCACTTGCCTTCATAGGACCTTACCTTTTCCACTCAGAACTACTCACCACCAACCTCAACAATACATGTTGGATGATCTATATATGCTGATATTTTCTATTTCAAGTTGGAGAGTTTTATATAAGTAAAAGCTTTGAAACAAATCATCTGATCTGACCCCTTCACTTTATAGATGGTAAATTGAGCCCTCAAGTGATTAACTTCCGTAAGGTCACAGAGTAGTGATATGACTAGAAATTAAAGCTAGATGTTCTTGCACTTTTCACTGCTTAGATGACTTTTTCTCAAATTAGGTTTGGATCAGCTGATGCCAGTCTTAGCTTGTATTCATAGGTTTTGTTCTCTGTCAATCCCCTTCCTGTTACAAGTGAACTCAAATTCTAAGCATAGCTCTTCTTTTGGGCCCAAGAGTTTTAAGTGTTCCTCTGTTTCTGACCGAGCTCTTCCCAAATTTGCTGTTCTCTTACCAGACATCTTCCTAGCCCATCCAAGGAGGTAGACTCTTGGTATGAGCCTTGCTGGCCTATCTTGCTCAGCCCCTGTGGCCATCTTATAACTGAGAAACCAGGGACTAAATCTTAACTCCACAGATGGCCCCAGGGCTCTGGAGCTACCCTGGGTTCTCTTGGACAAAGTCTCAGCACCTTCTAGGCTCTTCCAGCTGTGGCATGAGCCAAGGAGTTCTTCTCTGCTGCTACTGTGAACCTTGTCTACTGAACATAGCATGAGGGGACTGCTTTGTCTTCTCTATAGAACATGGATGTTCTTCTAGGCTATCCTCCTTGTTAGCAAGAGTAATAGTAATTTACAAGTTTGATAGCTTCCCCTATCATGCAACAATAGCACCTGACTTGACATTAAATATTTCTCACCACACAACATTAGAAACTAGAAAGGAGTACAAATAAAAACTGTAGATATACAGTGTGAGACAGTTGGATTTAGAAAATATGTTGTTAAGTCCCCCCTCTCTTTTAAAGATTTTATTTATTTATTTTTAAAGAGAAGGGAAGAGAGGGAGAGGACTATCGATTGGTTACTTCTCACATGCTCCCAGTAGGGAACCTGGCCTGCAACCCAGGCATGTGCCCTGACCAGGAATCAAACCAGTGACCTTTCAGTTTGCGAGATGACGCCCAACCAGCTGGGCCACAGCAGCCAGGGATCAATCATTTTTTAACATCATACACTAAAGTAAATTTTAGGGGGATTTAGGACTTACATATGGCAAAGGAATCATAATAAAAAACATATACATAAATGGTCATCTAATTTTGGGTTGTAAATATTTGAGCATAAAAACAAACAAAAACCTTAAAGAAAAAGACTGACAAATATAACTGTGAATATATTAATTTCATTACATTAAAAATTACATATAAATAAAATTAAAAGGTAAGTGTCAAATTGACCAAGCATTAATTAATAGTTTTTCTAAACTAAGGCCATAAAACAAAATCAAGGCCATAAATAAGCAATCACAGATAATAAATGGCCAAAGAATATAAAATATTGAGCTTCATTAGTATAGAAATAAAAGTGTATAAAGATGAGATACCATTTGCATGTATGAAAATAGCAAATACTTTAAAAGATAATAAAAGTAACTTTAATAAGGGTTTAGGAGAATGGCACTTTCACACATATAATGCTGATGGAAATATAAAATGCTGTAGTCTTTCTAGACAGTAACATTAAAATATGTATGCCCTTTGACCCAGAAATTCCTATTGTGGGTGTTTATCCTGAGGAAATTATCAGAGATGACAACCAACATTTATGGACAAGGGTGTTTAAGCACGATTAGATAACTTTAATTAAATTTGCATTTACATAATAGAATACTATAAAAAGATTAAAATCCTGTTTTTAATTCTCATGCCCTCTGACATGTTATATCAGCTCTAAGACTAGGCTTATATGATATAAAAAAGGGATGTTTTAGAAACTTGTCATTCCTAATACTACCCACAAGAAATTATCTGGACATCTTCCCTGGGGGGAATAAACAGAAGTGAGAAGGCTTTGTAGCTGAGTGGGAGGAGAATTGGGAGGACAGCATCAGTTTTTGAAGCTCAAGAAACATTGATTCAGACATGAAAATGTGCTCAACATACTATAGGGATTTTAAAAAATTACAATATAACGTATATATTAAGGTCCCAATTTTGTAAGATACACGCATGTACTAAATCTACATGAGATGTTAACAGGAAGAGAGCTTGTTTTTATTATTTTTTTGTAGTTTTCTACTGTAACCATCTATTCAGAAAACAATATACATCATTAAAAAGAAGAAGGTGCAGCCTTAGTAATGGTGATTAGATGTTTTCTGGGCCTTACTTTGCTTCCAGGGCCAGAGCAAAGATGCCAGCAGCCAGGGGGGCCGAGGCCGAGGTGCCCGTGTGGGTCTCTGTGCAGTCGTTGTGCAGGTCTGCGCTCGTCTGGGTGGCATCAGGAAGGAGAGAAACACAGGAGGACATATAAGGAGTGTGATCCCGTCCCTGGGGGTTAACCATACCTAGGGCTGCATCTGCTGTGATCAAGAAGCTCAGTTGATTCGATTCCCGACTTCCTCCTCTAAACCCCAGACGGATGTTTGCCATCTGCTGATATTTTAGTTCACTCTCCTCTATATGCAACTTGTCTATAATTCTGGCACCAGGATGCCTTTTCTGGGGATGAAGTACTCTCACTATGAATATTTTCTCCTCTGAGATTCCCAAATGAAATGCTGTCTGTAAAAAACGGGACTGTTTCAGAATCACTGTGAATCACACTGGCCCATTAATCATCTGGTCCATTGTGTTTGGCCTGGCATATTTAGAAATTCTGTCTCATGCAAAATTCCCTTTTGCCTTCAGACTGACATTTGACTGCCTCTTCAGTACAAGAATATGAAGCTATTCTGATTTTGGCCACTTGAACTACTTGCACAAGATTTGTTTAGTGTGAGTTTGCACTCACTGTGGTAATTTGATGCCCATGAGTTAGTGTCCACATTTGCACACTGATGAAAAGGATGAGTTTTTCAAACAGAAAGTGCACTAGACTTAGATCTGGGTCCAAATTCTAAAGCTGCTATTCAGTAGATGTGTCTCAAGGGCAAGGCACCTGGGTTCCCATCTGTAAAATGAGGTTGACATTTCCCAACTCATATTTTGAGGCTGGAATGAAATCTTGTCTGTGAAAGCATTTTTACACAATAATATTGAATGTAAAGAATTACCCAGGCTAATTATAGGTTAATTGAAGAGGTTGCCAAGATGAAGGGAAGAAACCAAAAAGCCTTTCAATCGTTCTGCCTTAAGGACCGTAGTACTGCTGGTTGGACAAGTAGTTGGGCCAAAGGACGACTAACAAGACACCCACCCAGACTCCCATGCTATGGTTTTTAGTTAGAGGTTTCAATGTGTGGGAGAGAGGTGTAAAAAAATAATTTGTTCTGTTATCACCTCCTTTGGCTTCCCACCTAGAGTTGCTGAATTTCTCAAGTTATGGTGGCTCTGTTCCTCAGAGAGTTGCGGAAGCAAGGTTGCCCGTTTTACCTGTTGACGCAAGTAAGCCCCCAGAGATGACTGTGCTGAGGAAGAGGTTTGCGTAAGACAAAGCCTATGTTATTGCCACCGTCTCAAATAGAATTCACCAGCTGTCTCTCCTGTGGCTGATTTAACTAAAGAGGGATCTTTACAAAGATGGAAATTCTTCCTCCTACCTCAGAGAAGAGTAGCTCAGGTGAGGGACAGTCTATGAAACAGTGACTCTGAAATGCATGCTAATGGGCCGTTTTCCCAAAAGCAGCTCAGGACATGCACAGGGACAACAACAGGCAGGGGTCTGAACACGGGTGGAAAACATGCCTCATATACTCCTTTCCAAGGCTGTAAAATATGCCTACCATAAGGAATCCCTGTGTAGAATATCACTGTTATTTGTGTAATTGAAGATACGGGCATGGGAGGGCGGCCGCTGCTTTTAAGTTGAGGCCACAGTTTCATTGTCTAAGCTACAGTTGGTGAGAGAAGCAGGCAGAGTTCCAGAAGAGTGATCCTGTACAAATAAGACAGTAGTTCTGACAATTTTGTTGAGGTGCTATTAATACGAATTTTATAAACATTTTGAGTTCTAATAATTATTGGGTTCACCCACAATCTAATTAGATCATGACCTGTTATTTCATTGAGATTAGGATATACATACTTTAGCTAGTTATTTCTTTCTGTGTCAGAAGTTAGGTTTGGGTCTTTATACTTTTAAATTAAAAGTGCCTCTCTGTTCTTAAAGCCCCCAAATGGCCCTTTCTCATCGCGCCCTTAAAGGGAAATCCAATAATTACCCTTGGCAATCTGACTCATGGAAGCGAAACACAGCCAAGCGTGGGCTGGAGATGCTCTCTGAACATCTAACCTTTCTGAGCTGCTTATTTGGATGCTGAGAAGTTCACCTCAGGGGAAATTTAGACTGTTATTTTCCTGCAGGTGGTTTGTTCTTAGGAGACATAGCTGGTGTATGCTCTGTATTTTTATCATCTGCAAAAGGGCAAGTCAGACCATATCCCTGCTATTAAAGGAATCAACAAGCACAGGGTGATAAAGCCCCTACAACCCTAAAATCTCCTTTAAGGCTATTTTCAGGGAGGCATCACACAAGCCAAAAAGACATTTGGAGTCTCGACCATATGTAATGACAGATTGGTGGCTTCTCAGGGATGAGTTTAAAAATGACCGAGAGGAAACATCATTTTGGCAGAAGCGTCGTTATCCCAGAGAGAGAAAACTTCCTAATATATTCCAGCCTTTCAAGTGAGTAAAAGGATGAGTCTCCCCAGCTGAGATATCAAGCTTAAACAAGTCAGTTTCACCAAAGGTACTGACCAAAGCATTCTTTCAAATGCAAGCCATGCTCTTCTACCTAAGCAGAGTTAGACAAAAGCAACGTACGATCCGCTGGTCGGTGTAGTCCCCGCTGCTGTACGAGGTGGCCAGCGTGGAGGAGCACTTCTCAGCGTACCAGGGGGACAGGCCCTGCTGGGAGGCACTGCTGATGGAGATGGTGTAGATGCTGTCTGTGTACCCATCGCAGTCACAGTTGTCTCCCTGACGCCCCCCATTCCCAGAAGCCCAGACAAAGATGGAGCCCTTTCCTTGTCTCCCCTAAAAGAAAAACCAGAATATATCACATCTATTGCCATATATTGGGAACACTGTCACACCCCAATAAAATCACCAGCAAATATGTGCATGAAGTTCTCAGAGGCAGTGATTTGCAGGTCTGATTCATCTTCAGGTCCTCCAGCCTCAATTCTAGAAATCTTATGAGACTTCGCATGATTGAGTCACTGGGCTCTGGGTCTGCCAGCCCTTCACCTGGGCCCTCTCTGGGATGGGGATGAGCTGGTGCATTTCTTTCTTTTCTTTATTATGCAGATTTATAATCTGGCCATTAGCACCTGTTCATATTTTTTTCACTCTTCCCTTGGCTTATGTCATTACGTTTGAATCTTTGAACTTCCTCTCTTTCTTTATGCTTGGATCTTGGTTGACTAATAGAATGACAGAATCAGGCATTTTTTCGATCTGCTTTGCAGCCGCATTAAAAGGGACTCTTCAATTAAACGGAACTCATCGTCAAGGCTACCCTTTCTATGACTTTTCAATCTGTGCTCTCCACAATGTCTACTTTTGTTTCATCCGGTGCAGAATAAGGCCTTTGACTCCTGGCAAGAATGCAATAAACGCAGTAACAGAGCAATACAACCCAGGCACACGTGTTCACCAGGCACATGCAGAGCGGAGGTAGCACTCTGCCATTTATTTATAAGGAGGCATTTTCAGAGTGTTTGAAAGAAGTCTGGGTAGTAGTTTAATCTAGTGTAAAAAACTCAAAAGCAGGAAGGACATAATCCAGAGTATTTTTTAAGTATATGTTTTAAGAGTAATGAATCTCTTTTGAATGTCAGACCTAAATGGGCGGGCAGGGGTGGAGGGGTGGATCTCTGAACCCTTAATTTCCATATGACTGCAGAATGATTTGGCTCTCTAGATGCACTTCAAATAGTAAGCCACTACAAGAAACACACAACCATTTCTTTCCATATAAGCTAAATGTTCTTCCCTTCTCCGTATATCCACATAGTTAGGTTTCATTTCAGGTGCATCTGCCTTAAGATCTCACCTGTTTAACACCATATTCAAAAGCCTTCTGGGCTAGGCGGCCAGGCCCCTCCACAGTTTTCCCATCATCATTAGGCCCCCAGCTTGCACTGTAAATATCCACATGTCCAGGATTGAATCCAATTGAACTGGCTTCAATAGCATCTGTCACAATGCCGTCCAGCATTCTTATACCTGAACAGCAGAGTAAACAAATACATAAGCTGGTCCACGGGCACATGTAGACTGGCACAAATGCTCTTAATATTCATTTTTTAAAAGGACTCTCAAGAGTCAAAAACAGGGTAACCACTGTATGTCCCAAATGCCCATGATCTGCTGCTAACAGCGAAAAGAAAGATGCAAATCACTGCCCCCATGAACTTCCTTATCTGCCCTTTAGAGAGAACGCTGTGCCCCGTGCAGTGGCCATGGCAGTCATGCAGTGCAGCGTGTGCCCCCTCCCTCCACTACCTCAATAACCTGAAAATGACAGGAGAGCTTTTAGAAGGAGGCCTCAAACCGCCCTCCCTTGATATATCCACTCACGACTCTACCACGAATGGCTGTGGCCCAACCTGTGCCATACAAATGACTCTGTATGGGAAACCTTGCAGCTTGAAAAGGTCTTCTCACAATAGGAAACTAACAAATAGGGAAAGAACTCTTGTTTCTAAGCACTGATTAAAAATAACCCAGAGGCCATTCTTTTATGTGTTTGCTAAGAAACATTTTCAAGGAACATGCTTTCTTTTCTTCTAAATAATCTCCAGGATGAAATCATTGCCATGGATTTCGCTCCTGAGGGAGAGTCATTTTTCATCAGGAGAAGGCAGTAGCTCTTTGTGTTTTCCAACAGGCTGTCACCCATCATCAGACTCATGGACTTCAGAGCCAGCAAGGCAAAAGCAATTTAGACAGTTACAGGCAGCTCCCTGGTTGTTCCTGGCTTCAGGCTGGTAATGCAAGGGCGTACACAGACTTAGGTTTTCACGCTATTGTTTACCGTGGAGCATACGTAAAAGAACATGAAATTGGCATGATTAGTGAAAGAAGTATTATGTTAAAAATTGTTTAAAAATGCATTTGATGGGGGTGGAATCCCAATCTCTTCTACAATACTTACTAAGCTACATGATTTTGACGCAAGTCACTTAACTTCTCTGTGCCACAGTTTCTTCAATTATAAACTGGGGATAGTAACAGCTCACATGTGTTGAGGATATACTATATTCAGCTACCATCCTTCAGGTCTGAAACTTAGGAACTCATCTGTCCTTATGAAAGCCATTTGAGGTGGGTCCTATAATTCTCCTCATTTTAAAGGTGGAGAAACTGAGGTCAGAGAGGAACAGTGACTTGCCCAAAGCCACACAAGATTGTAATTGGGAAGCCAGGACTTGAATCCCAGAAATCTGGTACCCAAATAAGTCATATAACTCCAGGATACACTGCCTATGATGGGTTCATAAGATAAGTGATGGATATATAGTAGGTGCTTAAAAATGAAAATTATTATATAAAAACACATTTAGAGCTAGATCATCAAAGGGTGGAGTAATGGAAAAAAGTAAGTAGACTTGGAATGAGCTATTTTGTGTTTTAGTTCTATACTGCCACAAGCTGTCACCTTGAGAATCTTGCTTCTGACATCTTCTTTATAAAATGAAGGGATCAGATGATTCTCTCATAAGCTATAGCTACTTAGTTCATTATGACTTAAAAAGTGCATTCTTTTTCTGGGTGATTACATAATTTGTACTTCTTTCATTTTCCTTAAGTTAACATGGCAGTTTGATGATGCTAGTATCAACGTAATTAGGAATAGCAAAACAGAAGAGTGTGCTGTATTAGTAAAAGGGGCATTGTGCGTCACAGGATGTATCCTTATTTGATCTCTAAAAAGGAATACAGTCCCTGTGAACCCCTGCGTATCCAGTCTCCACCACTCTTCCCCACAGGAGCAGCATCAAGGGGTTTTCTTGTCTTCCCACTGGGTTCAGCCCACTGAGGGCAGCAGCAGAAGGTTGGGGGATGAAGGGGAGCAAGGTACTCATTCTCCTGAATCCTCTTTGCCCAGAAATAGCTCGGTTGTTGTACTCAAGGCCACAGCTCCTGTCCAGCGATTCTCTCCGCTGGCCACAGCTTTCTCTCTCCAGTTTCCACGGATGCCTCCCCCTTCCTCATTTAGGCCTAAAGGTGGTAACATCTGCCTAGCTTTGTGAGCCCTTCTTGGTTTCCTTTGAACTCTTGTAAATAGTTGTGTTTTTTTAAATTTAATTGCCTTCATGGAACTTATCGTATATGCCCCCATAAAGACACTGACTGAAACAACTAGAGGTGAATTCTTGCTATTGAAGATAACCTTTGACTTCTTAATATAACAAGTTTGTATTCTTTTTATTTTTAAAAACTGTTCTTTGCTATGAAATGAAGAACTGGAGAACTGAGAGGCAGGGAAATTCTTCACCTATATTTACCTCCTCTTTCTGTTCTCCAAGGAAGAACTCAATAACAAATCCTTCTAAATCAGAACACAGAGAAAATTGGATTTGGTTTAAAAGTTATTCAGCAGTTCCACACACCCCTTGCCCCGTATATATGGGTTATATTCAGTTATCGTTTTCTAGGAATCCAGAGCCATTGGTTCATTTGCAAATCACATTCATGTCATACACCAAATTTTGCACGGAGCTCATTTCCTCATTTCCCCTAGTTATTGAAAGACTCCCTTCCCCACCTCATTTGCCCCAGGCGGTGCAAGACTGAAATGCAAAGTGCTTTACCTCCGACTTTGGAATTATATGCAACTCCGACCCCACACTTGTGATTATTTGCTTGCATGGCAATTTCCCCTGCACATCTGGTCCCATGTCTGAGGATTAAAAATTAGGAATTATGAAACATAAATGAAGACAAACATTTGTTTTGCACATGAATCCATGGTACATGGTTCTATTAGCTTTTTGTCTGACTTTTTTTCTGGTTTCTTCCCATCAGCATTACATGAAGTATAGGTATTATATGAAGGGCATAGAAAGGGGAGCCAGAGTATTTGTGTTCAAATTCTAGCTTCTGCCACTAACTAGTGGTGTGACCTTGTGTAAGTGTCCTCAAAGGGTTGTGATATCACATTAGATACTGTGTATAGAGTACTTAGAATAGTGCTTGATATATAGTTAAGAACCCAGTAAGGGTTAGCTATGGATAGTCTTATGAGCAACTGTGACACTTTCAGAAATTGTTTCCAAATAGATGGCTTCTGCTCCATACTTTCTGGTAGTGAAGTGGCTTCTCACTTCCTCCCACTAGGGACTTTCTTGGATCAGGTTATCCCGGGCCAGCCCTACGAGGGTATGCAAGAACCGAGTCCCCTGTCCAGACGTCCTCTTCTCCTCTAATCTTTCAGCAAACTAAAACATCTGTGGGTTTTCTGGTATCAAGAGGAGTTTGAGATCATTAGAAGGAACTACAGATCAATCGGAAAACTCTGATTGGGACTAGAGGCCTGAACAAAATTGCATTTGCAATCAGGCAAAAAGGGAAATTCATGATTTCAGAGTATTTGAAGGAAAAAAAAAATCCATATCTAAAACAAACCAAAGCCCACCATTAAAGCATCAATTTTGAAATTCTGGGGATAATAATTGTTTTTTGTTTTTTTTTTTACCACACTCTGACCTCAGGAGGGCCTGTAAATCAAGAGAACTTCAATGTAAATTTGTTTATTTTATGACTGCATTGCATTGCGCAAGCCCCTGGGAGCACAGTGGGCGGTTGAGGCCTTGGAGGAGCTGCTGGCCAGGCTTGCTGACACAGCGGGAAAGAGAAGATGGGTTGGCGCGGAGCGACTCGGTCAGCCAGCCCGCTACCTTTAGAAACTATCACATGAGACACCTATTAATTTAGCATGGTAAGGAATATAAAAATCCAAAATTAATTGGGTCATTTAAAATAATTGTTTCACTTATCTCGTTTTCCTGAAGTACCAAAGATGATTTCCCACTACATGATATTCCTGCTTCTTCCAAATATTGGATAAGAATCCTGAGTCAAAATGATATAATTATCTTTAATTCTCCAGGTCTTTCCTAGTACAGTGAACATCTGCTTCTTTTTTGTCTCCTAGAATTTCCCCCTTTTGGGAAGTGGCCCTTCCTCATTCCCTGTGATCATTTCTGCCATGAGGCTCCTCCTAGGCAGCTTTCAAGGATTAATACAGATTCTGGGGAAGTGATTTATATTTTTTTCTATAGAATCTTTAGCTTTTATATTCCATCTGAGCCATACGATCTTTTTTTTCAAATTCTTTAGTTTTTCGATTTTATTTATTTTTAGAGAGAGAGAAAGGGAGGGAGAGAGGGAGAGAAACACCGATCGATTGCCTCTCTGCCAAATGGGGACCTGCCCCACAAACCTAGGCATGTGCCCTGACAGGGAATCGATCCAGCAACCTTTCAGTTTGCAGGCCAGCACTCAGTCCACTGAGCCACACCAGCCATAGCTTAGCCATACGATCTTCTTGCCAGACAAGAGTCTCTTGAGAATGAAGCTACATTGAAGAAAGCAGCACTAGGGGATGGAGCTAGGGTGTTTGGTGTCTTGATGGCATATTATTGAGCTCAGTGCTTTTGAAGCTAGAGCATCCCTTGGGTGAAAGATTTTTGTTGATTTTTTTAAATCCTCATCCAAGGACATTTTTTCTTTGCTTTTAGAGAGAGAGGAAGGGAGGGGGGGAGAGAGAGAGAGAGAAAGAGAGAGAGAAGCGAGAGAGAAATATTGATTAGTTGCCTTCTTGTATGTACCCTGACAGGGAATCAAACCTGCAACCTAGGCATGTGCCCTGACCAGGAATCAAACCCTCAACATCTTGCTCTATAGGACGATACTCCAACCAACTGAGCCACAGTGGCCAAGGCTGAAAATTTTGTTTGTTTTTTAAAATCCCTGTATTACTTAATCTTTGCGTTAAGATTCTCTCACTTAGAACTGAAGCTATCCTAACCAACATACTCATTTTCTAAAAAATGCGTTCACAATTAATACATAGAAGGCAGCTTCTTTGATGGATTAGCCTTCTTTACCTTTCCAGAAGGAGAAATTCAGTTGCCATCCTCTGGGAAAGTTACTCCCAGAAGTCACAGATGCCTGTATTTCCATTTAGATAGTATGGGAGACAGGACCCAGGACAAAATCTCTAGGCTGAGCCAACAGGATCGAGCTGTTGGAAAACATCCTCAGCATTGTACCTCTGTCCTAAAAATGAAGTGATATGACATGACCTATTACTTATCTCTCCTTATATACTGAGGACTGTTTTCTTGAAAGGTGCAGTAGGATCATGCTACAAATAGAAGATGACATTTTTTCCTCCTTTTATACTCAGTTCCTGTCTTGAGAAAGAAGAAAGACTTTATCAAAGTGGTTCTATCTCATTCTTTATAGACCTGTAGCTTTTTTTGCTTTTCTTAAATCAGGCTCTGAGATAAAATAACCCTCTATTATTTTAGAACAATGGCAATAACTGGCATTTAAACAAAATGATTTTTAGAAAATTATTCTACAACATAGTTTAAAGACTACTATTATACTGGTTAAAATATCCTTGTCACATATATTATTTAACTAGAAAAATAATCTGTAATTGGTATTGAATATAGACTCATGCCAGCTTAATTGTAAGAGTTACCTGCACCTTTAAGATCTTATTCTTTAGTGATTCCTCTTCTGATTTGCAGAGGAGAATTCAAATACAGTTTCCATTAATCTCATTTACATAGTAATAAAGAACAGAAGCAACACAGGTAGTTTGGAGGAATAATGCCCTGGGATTGGGAGATAACAGGTATCTGTTTTAAGGCTAAGATAAAATGCGGCGATTCATTTTCCAAATCTGAGGGATTTCTGACAACATGCTTGAAGGATAATTTTATTTTTTATAATACCTTTTGCAAAATGATGAGGAGGCTGCTACCTTTTTGGGTGATAGCCAAGAAGACCCTGAGAGATAGTTGCTTACTGTGTAATTTTCAAATAGCAGATCCTGAACTGGCTAAGAAAATTGACTGGTCTCTATTTCTGCTCCTATCTGTCACATGATCTTGTCATGCTGATTTCTCTCTGAAAAGTGGTCTACCTTAGTTGTAAATGAGAAGCCTTGACCAACAATGACATTACTATTATTGTCATTGTCATTGCTGTAGTCATCATCATCATCATCACTTAACTTTTTTTATGTAGCAGGAACTAGCCAAGTCAAGTACATATAAAAACTCATCTGATCCCCATAATAACCCAATGAAATAGATACTGTTATTATCCCTTTTTCATAGATGATAAAATTGAGGCACAAAGAAGTTAAATAATTTGCTCAAGGTCACTTAACTATTAAGTGGCAGACCTAATATTTGACCTAAATCTAGCTGCAAAGTCTGTGCTCTTAACTATTTGTCTACTCTACATTAATTCTGTACTATCTGGAAGATCCATGGCAGGCTCTGTTCTGAAGCTCAGAGTTTTCAGGCACAAAATAAGTACAATTAAATGGGCTGCTTCCTTTAGGGGCCTTTGGAGCTCTGTGAGTTGGAAGTTATATTGGATTGGCCAAAAAGTTGATATGATTTTTTTCCTCATAAGATGGCCCTATAGCATTTAATTGTCTTTAATTTGAAACAAGTTTGTTAGATTGTATTGTGACAGCTGTCATATCAGTGTGCATTTTAAAAAGACATCAAAATTGGTGATTTTTTGTGTAGCTGTTTTAATACTGAAGATGGAAGAAAATAAGCAACACTTTTGGCATATTATGCTTTATTATTTCAAGGAAGGTAAAAATGCAACTGAAATGCAAAAAAAAGATTTGTGCAGTGTATGGAGAAGGTGCTGTGACCAATTGTGGCAAAAGTGGTTTGTGAAGTTTTTCATGCTGGAGATTTCTCACTGGACAATGTTCTATAGTGAGGTAGTCCAGATGAAGCTGATAGCAATCAAATTGAGACATTAATTGAGAACAATCAATGTTATATCACATGGGAGATAGCCGACATATTCAAAATATCTGACTCAATAAAGTTACAGGTGAAAATGAAAAATGTGTCTTTTATTTTATGGAAAAAACTAAATGGACCTTTTGGCCAACTCAATATTATAAATACTGTATTTATTATAACACTGTGATGTGAGATTTCCCCCTTTGGGGAAAAGAAAAGAGGGAAATGTGGGTCCCCTTCTCACTCTAGAAAACATCAGTTCACCAAATATCCACCTATCATGCAGCCGTCGCCCATGTTGGATCCAGGGGCCAGACCCTGGGTACAGTGCCCCGTGGGGAGGCTGACACCTCTAGTTACCAGTCTCGTCTGCTGCACCCATGTGGCTGCAAGCATATTCCCTCTTACTCTTGACCAACAGGGTGAGGTGAGAGTTGTCATTTTTGTTTCATTCCAAGAATGGTGCCCCCTTCTTCCAAGCACTTATTTCCTCAGGAAGCTCCTTTCAGGAGAGTAGGAAATGGTTGTCTTGTTACCCACTTTAACAGACAAAATAAAAAATAGAGGCAGAGAGAAGTGATGTCCTCATGTCACTCTCTATACTGCTAATTGGCAAAGCCATGACTGCCAGCCTGGCTAACAGCACAAGGTTGTGTGCTCCAAAAGAGCAGATGTTCTCCTGGTGCACTGCCCTGACTCGAAATGGCTGAAAATTTATCTGGGGACACTGCTCTAAGTTCCTGAGACATCCCACTTTCCTTCAAGGGCTTTCCCTTACTGTTCCTGTTATATTGTTACTGAAATGTAACACCTCTACTGGGTGTTTGCAGTTAACCCCTTTAAGGAATAAACCTTAGAAGAAGTCAGTCATGCTGAAAGAAGCAGTATTTTGGAACCCTCCCCAAGCTTCCTCTTCTCCCCAAGGAAGAAATATACTCCCAGAAGTTGAAGCCAAGTCCATAAGCCCAGCCTCCCTTCCTCGGGTTTTGTTGGCCTTCTGGAGGGGGAGCCTTCCAAGAAACAACTATAGGTCAAAATTACTGCATTGGCCACATAGGATTCTGAGAGGAAGAGAGTATAAGGGAGGGGGAAGGGAAAATGAGAGAGAGAAGGAGAGGGGGAGGGCGAGAGAACTCGATTAACCTGAGTTGGGTCATAGTCCAGGAGACAGAAAGCCATAGAAAGAGAAAAGGGTAGCACTTTAGGTGGCATCTGCAAAGAGCTTCTTGTTGCTTGCTCTTTCCACCCCTACTTGAGCATCAAGCCCTGCTATTCCTTTGGCTTTGATCTGTATTTTGGTGTAAGTCTCTTTTGGGTGGAGCAAATATGGAAGAAAAGTGTGAATGTCTCCTTGAAGTCTGAGACATGTCATTGTGCACAAAGATGCATTGCACATGGACAAGGGTCCTGAGGCCAGGTGCCTGGACCTACAGGGTGAAGTTTCTCAGGAGAGAAGGGTAAACTGTCTTGCCTCTGGGTCTTTATTTGGCCTCTTGCTTTGGCACGTCTGGCTCTCGGCCTCCCTCATCATCCTGGGTCTGCCTACAGATAATTAATTTAGGGGTCAGAAGACGGCCTCTTTTTCTTCCTTCTAGACAGCAGCAGCTCTAGAACAGGTTGCTGCCTAGGCCAATGCCCCAAAGACTCTGTTGAATTTGAGAGCCAGGCCTCAGGGTTCCTTTCTCTCATCTGGTGTTGGGCCGTGCTCTTTTAAAGAAACTGGTGAGCATGGCTGTGGGCACCATAGGAAGTTGTGGGGATTTGTTATCTTGGACATCGATGTTTCTTCTCGTGACTAACATCAAACATGTTGCTAATAGGAGAAGGTTCATAGAGGAATTGAGGGGGCAGGCAGTGGGCTAAAGGATTTTATTCTTTATGTCACAAGCATTCTTTCTGAAGCTATAACTATTCAGTAACATTTGAAGGGAGTGTTTTATGATATAAGATGAGAATTTAATTGAAGTATGGTTCTACAAGCCAAAAGGAACATAAAAAGAGAACTTTGGGTTTCTGTTTTAAAAGCAACAAAATATCATGGTATGGATGGCATACACGAACATTTCTGAGGGCTCAAATAAGATAAAAGCATTTTAAAGTATTAGTACCCCTCCCCCAATCCACATTTACTCACTTGTTCTCATTTGTGGAATCATATCGGGGAAATGGATCATGGTCATTATCATTAAAATCATAGCTAGCCTCTGGATCCTAAAGAGACAACACAAATAACACTGTAGCATCGTAAAAATAAAACAGCACTTCCCAAGCCTTCTACCTTACCCTATTTCCATCCAGTCTGAGAGCTCAAAAGTCTGCTTGTCAGAGTTTTTGGCCCAGCGGCTGATCATTTATTATACCCATAAACCAGGCAGAGACAGAAAAGCAAGCCAGCATCCAATTCTCAGTGAATGTTACCAAACCGACAGCTCGTAGAAGCTCATAGGGTATTAAAACCAGGAGAATCAGTTCAGTTAATTCAACCACGTCAGGTTTCAAAGAGGAAATTGAGGCCCAGAGAATCTGAATGACTTAGCTATGAAGCTAGTCACTTTGACACTCTTCTCTCTTATGAATATAGGTGCAAAAAGGGGGCTCAGGTCCACAACGATCTCTTTCAGCTTCCCCAGTTATACTGAATAAACTCAGAATGTAATTAAACTAAGTGTGCTTGATATTTAAGATAAGCTTCCAGGTTCCACACACTTTTCCAACCAGATTGCTACACCTAAACATCTCCCACATAGGAACTCTATCACTACTACTCCATTTCTCTGTATTTTCCATGTCTTTTAATACTTCCTACTCTCTACTCATCTTTATCTCTTCTCTTCCTTCCCTTTCCCTTTACTTTTTAGCTGCAGAACATGGACGAGTGGAAAGAATGAGAGAAGGACAAAGGACAGTCTTAAAGATGAAACATTGAGCTAAATAAAGCCTCAAAATATTATGTAGAGCTTCAAAAACAATTAAGGAAATACTTTTCATTTACTTATTTCTCATTTCTAATAAGCTTTTCTTTTCTCAGCTTGTCATTTTTGCACTGTTGCACACTTTAAATTTGCATATAAGGCATCACATTCACATGACTTCACAGTGTGAGAAATACGGACCCATAGGGATGTGAGGAGGAAGACTGTGAAAAGATCTCAGGCATCTGGCTCGATTTGTTAGCTCTAATGCCGCCAATACTGAGTGGTACAGAGTCTGAATGGCTTTTAATCATTTATTTGGTATAGGTGCTTTTTCCCACCACCAATGCATAAGTTTTTGTACAGTCCTTAGCTCCACTAAATTCTTGCAATGCCCCCTAATACAAGGAGTTTATATGGGCTAGTAGGGAGGGGAAGGAAGTGACAAAACCTTGGCCCATCATTCCCTGCGTCAACACCCGAGGAGCCTCCCACTTGAGGAAAGGAAAGCCCACTGTGTGTCTGTGTAGACAACCACTTAAGTTACAAGTCATGGGAGGGTCCAGACTCACATAATTGGCATAGATGTCTGTGTGATTCCACTCCAAGCCATCATCCAGTACAGTGATAACAACTCCTTTGCCTGTGATGCCTTTTTGCCAAACAGGTATCACATGGAGATCCAGCTTGGGCAGGGATGCCGTCATCCTGGTATCTTGCTGGTAAAGAAAAACAAAGAAGCACTGGTAAAATCATAATTAGCTTGCCGCAAAATGAGAACTGAAGCCACACTGCGGGGATCCATCTTTCTTTTTTTCCTGGGGTCACTCTCCTCTTTAGAAGAAGGAAATTAGGTGAAATAAAAAACAAAGCTGAGGGTAGGGCCAAGTGAATCATCAGAGTGCTGCTCTTTTCCCAGTGATTCCAATGGAAAATCACTCAAAAGAATGAATCACCCCATGCCCCTTGTCTTTGAGCTGCATGGCTTCGAAGAAGCAGTTTATCCCTGCCTTTCCTTCATCATGGCATGCTTGAGCTTTTCATCTGCCTGAGCTTTATTGGATATCCTGTGTTTCCATCTCCCTCCAAATCCTAAGCTTCTGTTGCCACAATGAACCTACTTTATGTTGGCTGGTTCACAGTCATTTGCGGATGTTTTTTATAACTTTTCTAAAAGAAAAAGAACCTGGAGTGCCCAGGAGGCTGCGGTCTCACCAGGACTTGCCATTTAATTGCCAGTTTACAAACATGAGTGATTTAGGGAGCGAGTGTCTGTGAGAGGAGTTTCGGGGTTTCCTTTTTCCAGTAGCGTTTCCGATAGTTGCGCTGCGTGGGGCTGTGGGAGAGAAGAGCTGGACAGCAGCGGGACACAGATAGGAGAAGCATCTGAGAGAGGTTCACTAGAAGAGACCCAGGTTTCTGGGATCAACAAGAAATTTGTAAATAACAACAAGCAAAAGTGTCAGTGAATGGATTGCCCCCTGGCTGATGCTCCTCAGAAAGAGGTGGAGGAAAATAAGACCTTAGTAACCAAAATGAAGCTGAATTACAAGAGATTGGAACTACACACAGACTGTTGGGTAAAGCCAGGAAGAAGGGCTCTGTGCCAGTCTCAGGAGCAATCACAGAATGTGGTTGTTAAGAGTAAGGCCTCTGGAGCTATGAATTGTGACCCCACCACTAGTAACCATGTGATTTTGGCAAGTTATTCAACTCACCAATGTCTCTGTTTCTTCATCTGTTAAATGGGCATAATTGCAATATGTACAACATAATGTCGTAAGAATTAAGTTAATGCATGTCAAATACTTAGAATAGTATCTGGCACATTGTAAATGCACAGATGTTGGCTAATGAGTCTCTCCTGCAATGGGAAAGTAATGCTTAGGTTAAATGGAATACTACTTGGCCATAAAAAAGAAGATTTTACCCTTCGCAACAGCATGGGTAGACCTGGAGAACATCATGCTAAGGGAAATAAGCCAGTTAGACAAAGACAAATATCATATGATTTCACTCATATGTGGAATCTAATGAACAAACTGAACTAACAAGCAAAATAGAGACAGACTCATAAACAGAGAACAGACTGATAGTTCTTAAGATGGAGAGGTTAGGGGATGGAGGGATTGAGCAAAAAGATAAAAAGATTCATGGACATGGACAACAGTGCAACAGTGTATTGATTGTGGGGGGGATGGGAACATAAGGGTGATAAATGATAATGGAAAAAATACAATAAAAATAAAAATTTAAAAAAAAAGAGTGAAAAGGAATTGATCCCCTTGCCCATCCATTATGCAACAAAGATGTTTAAGCCTTAGTTTATGGCTGTCATCAAAATTTATCTTTTATAATGTTCTTTTATTAACATATATTACTACTATAACAAAAGGTAGAGTAATTTGCTGGCAAACAAGAACACTTATAATTTCTCTACTCAATGCCCACCTACCAATAAGGATTTGGTAATTGTCTTAGAGGTAGAATGATATGCAAGTCTGGACATCTGCAAATAGACTGTTTTTTGTCTTTCCTTGTGTTTATTGCTTTAGCCTTGTTAAGAAATTATTACCTTTTTTTCTGCCCTGAATACTATTTTGGAACTCCTAACTTGCAAGACATGATCCTTCTGTGCTTGCTCCAGAGAGGTTAAGAAGAAGGCAGCCCTGACCAGTTTGGCTCAGTTGCTGGGCATCGTTGCATGAAACAAAATATCACTGGTTCGATTCTTGGTCAGGGCACAAGCCTGGGTTGTGGGACTTGGTTCCTGGTCAGGGTGCACATGAGAGGCAACCAATCGATGTTTGTCTCTCACATTGATGATGTTTCTCTCCCTCTCTTTCTCTCTCCCTTCCCCTCTCACTAAAACTAAATAAATGAAATCTTTAAAAAAAGAAGACAAGAAGGTAACAACCCCTCCTCTTATAGCAGCTGAAGATTTGTGTTTCAGACACTCTCACCTAACAAAAGAAAAGATCCAGATCCTAGAATGTCCCATCAGCCATAATCTCAAAGTAACATAGCCCTCTGCTGAATTTTCCATCATTAAAAAATTAAAAAAACAATCTATCTATTGTGCAGATATAACAAAATAAATAACCAGGGTCCTACACAGCCTTTCTATCAGTACTTACCAAGTACCACTGCTGATTCCACATCGGATCATTGAAGAGATTTAGTGCTGAGTCTCTCAGAACTGAACGTTTACTTCTCTTTTTTTCATACTGTTGTTCAGCCCATATCACCTACAAGAAGTTTTACAGCAAGAAAATCAAGTCAAATAGCCACCTCTGTATAATGATCTTTCCTCCAGTACCTTTCCCGTCAGAGTTCAGGCAGCTCCACAAAGTTTTTGTTTAACTACAGATCAACTGGCAGCTCAGTGGGAAGGGATTGCCCACTGGGGAGATGGACATTTCCTCTATTACAGTAAAGTGTACCTTTAGGAGGAGGAGAGGAGTCAGTGAAGCGATGATTGCCTCTAATTATTTACCCTGTGATTACAGTGGAAATGAAAGTTCAGCCTGCTTTCATCAGCAAACGGACCATCGTACCCATTTCTTATATTGAGGTTCCAGGGCTCAATAGCTGAAAATTTGTCCAGTTTCATGGAATGAGTCAACAAGCTAAGAGATCCCAGGGACTGTCGTTATGCTGCTCTTACAGCTTAATTTCTCTTTCTCTATGCACAAAAGGTAGAAATTACAAATGTTACACAAGACAGGGAAGGTGCTATGTCTTTGCAAACCTGAAAGTCTGGCTCCCCTGTGCTTCAGCCTCCTGCTGAAGAGTATTTAATATAAGAAACAGATCTAGGGTGATGAATGAGCACTACTGGCCATGCACACTTACCATTAATTTAGTTTCATGTATTATGCAAAGAGATCTGACAGTACAAAAATTACCTGCCCCACATTTACGGCATAATCCTATTATACTTAAGGTTCTGAGAGGCTGAGGGGCTGCCTGGTAGTTATAATCATTATGCGATAATACCCTGCCCTTATTTTGCAGGACGACATGACTATCTCCTACCCAAAACATACCCTCTCTGTTTACGCACGAGGACAGTCCAGCGTGTGGTGGGATACTGTTAATGTGAGGACACTTATGAGTCAGATCTGAAAATAAAAACTGAAAAATAATTTGCTGCTAAAGGATAAAACATCCACTAATGCTGAATTTTCAATTAGAAAATACACTACAAACCTATTTTAAATATTGGAGGGACTTAAGAGTTAGAAATTAGTCACTATAATTTATTTTTAAAGTGCCTGTATTCTCAAGCTTAATTGTTTTGGCTTAAAATACCCAATGCTCGGAGAATAGTGCCTGCATCTGAGTCAGTCTTTGACAGGGGGCTACTAGGGAACAAGTACTGATTTTTGAGGAAGGGAGCAACTTACGTGTGGAGATTTCATTAATGGTCTTATAAAGATAGAGTATTACAACATTTCAGAGAGCTAATATGAAGGATCGTATCCCCATGAAAAAAATAAAATGACAATCAAAAGCAATTTTTAGCAAGTGGAATATAAAAAGAGGTACTCTGCCACCTGATCACATAAACATCTAGTTGTTGGAAACAGTGTTATAATCAGTGTCATCGACTCCAAATCCCATATTAATCTCTGTAAGAGCAGATCAAATAGAACAGAAGAAATTGGTGGTGTCTTTCTATTATGTATAGAAGAGGTATAATGTACTTAATTGTAAATATTGTGAAATTATTGTAAATAATCCTTTTGATTTGGAAAGATCATTAAAGACCACTTAGTCAAACATTCCACTCAAGCATCTATGGGTTCTAGGATATTTCCTATAATTAATTTATTTGGGGGATGATTTTATAGGATCACACAGATTTCTTTTCTGATAAAGTTATGTTAGTAAATGTTTAGCTCTTCTTCATTATTTTTTGAGATTTTCCCCCAAAATCAACTATTAAGGAAATTTCTAAAGAATGGAACTGAGGCATCTGTTCATTTTAGTGAGATTACTCTGAGTAATAATAATAGTTAGGTATGCTTCACTCGGTATGGGTTTGTCCCATGAAGATAAGAAGGGAGGTCAGTTTGATTCCTTGTGCATTGATGTCAGGCATACATTTAGGAAGCGAGGAAATCTCTCTGTTGTTTTGTCCAAGGACTAAGCCTAGCCAGAATCCTGGAAGTTGTCCTACTTTTTCAGAGCCCACAGAAAATAAACCATGTGCCTTGGGATGGTGAAGGAAAGACTTTACTGCACCAGAACCTTTTAAAGTACTGTTCTGGGCCTCTGATTTGGTCTCCCACATCTAGCCATTTACTTGAGTAAAAGCAAGCAGTGGGTGTGTATGAGCTGTAGGTCACTGTTTGTAGTCCTGAGATAGCATTCTTTGTCTACATATGGTGATTTTTTTTTACATTTCAACAGTATTAACCCAGATCTGGTCATTCCCTACCCTCTTAATTTCTCTTATTTTTTTTAATTCTATTAGTTGCAGAACAAATGAAATAGTAAATTATTTCACAGAATTCATGAATTCCACGTAATTTCAACACTTCTATCACCTTTCTTTCACTTATGCTTTTCTTTCTGGAAAGTTGAAAGGTTGTGTTCTATTTCTTGTAAAGCTTCTATAATTCTCTAGATTGTCCCAGGCAACAGAAATCATGTATATAGGCCCTGACTGTTGTGGCTCAGTGGGTTGAACATTGTCCCACAAGCCAAAAGGTCACCAGTTGGATTCCTGGTCAGGGCACATGCTTGGGTTGTGGGCCAGGTCCCCAGGTGGGGGTGTATGAGAGGTAGCCTGATTGTTGTTTCTCTCACACACTGATGTTTCTTTCCCTCTCTCTGCCATTCTTCCCCCTTTCTAAAAATAAATAAATGAAATCTTAATAAAAAAAGAAATCATGTATACAGATATCAGGCCAGCCAGGATAAATTTCCATCTGTATGAACATTTTTGAGACAAGGCAACATTTTTATGCAAATTGCAGTACCCCCAGTATAATCAACATTTCTATTGATATGTTTGCTGACCTTAAAAACAGACTTCAAAAATCAATAAATATATTATACATACATTCAAGTTACCCCCACACTATTTACCTATATCCGTTTTAGACATTTCCTGCTGTTGCCTAGTCATTGAATATGTATTCAAACCAGGATATATTATATTGGATTGGATCAAATAATATAATACTTATGAAAACATGGATTTAAAGCTCCCTCATAAACACCACTTTCCTATACAGCCAAACTAAATAGAAATGGCAGAATGTTGTTTTCAATTACAGTGAAATGTTATTAAAAGCAAGGTTCATATATTAGATTTCTGTGGCCTCCACACATCAGATATTGAAGTGCTTGCTACATAATAGGCATAAAGTAAATGGTTGTTGATTGATTGCATTGTCAAATGTTTTAATTAGTGCTGTCACTTTATTTTCAATATTTACTTTCATACCCTTAGACTGGGCTTGTGAGCTAGTATACATATATATATAAAACATTTCTGTTAATTCAATCAACTCTGCCCAATCCATTTATTATATGTAATCACAGCCCTATGGAAATAACAAGAAACACTACAAATAAATAATTATGATCACAATAAAGAAGAAGCATATTTGCAAAGTGCTCTTGTTCTTGTTGGCAATCATAGAGAAAGCAGGTAAGTCAGGTTGGTTTGAAGACAAATGCACAACACTTACACGGTCATCATCAGATAATCTCTTAGTGATATGAAGGGCACTCCTTCGAGACCGTCGCGGATGGTTTTTATGTCTGAATAAGTAATGATTTTCAAGCGATCCAATCTATAAAAGAAAAAAATTAAAATCTACCTTTCGAAATAAGTATATATGGGTCAGATTGAAACTGCACTAAATTAGAGACAGCTTTTATTAAGCCCATTCCTTGTACTTGAAGTTAACTTTTCTTCATGAGGAAGATACTGATAGAAGCCATCCTTCTCCTGTTAGTGTGTTGAGTGTGATAAGCCTTATGAAATTATCTCTCGGGCTCCCACTATCTTTGGGGGGGCTGGCGGTACTTCTGTCTCACACATTTCCGAGGAACTCCATTTGTTTTTCTACATGACAATATTGTATGGGTAGACATTTCTTTTTAAAAAGCCATTTTATCAAATTCATTCTCTCAGAGAACAATAATTTATGGAAAGCAGGCAAACCCTTTGGGTACTATATGGTCGGTGCCACATTTGCCAAAAACAATTTGTTGCTGCTATAAAATATAATCATTGAATCCATAGTGATAATTTTTATAAGCTACTAGTAGTGACTATTAGACCTTCCACCAGGTAAAGGCTTGGCCGGGGGGGGGGGGGGGGGAACCAGCATGCCACATTTAGGACAGGTGTAACCTTCCCTGGCTGGCCCTGGCCCAGGTGGCTTAGTTGGTTAGAACATAGTCCCAATATGCCAAGGTTATGGGTTCCATGCCCAGTCAGAGCACACACAAGAATCAACCAGTGAGTGCATAAATAAGTAGAACAACAAATCAATATTTCCATCTCTCGCCTCCTCTCTCTCATATCAATTTAAAAAAAAACAGAAACGAACCTTTCCTGGGTGACTATCAACACCTTTGGGCCATTTAGAACTATATTTGTTATTCTTTTAAGCTAGTGTCCTTTTATTCAAAACAGTACATAATTTGAAGCTACCAGATTCTTCAGATGCCCTGTATTTCTTTTTAAATTAAAAGACAAACAATTGACAATGGGTTATTTCAGAAAAATTACAATCTTTAAATTGGTAGTTCTCATCACCTAGAGAATTTTTAAATAGAGATCTTTAGGCCCTGTTCAAAGCCTGAACCGCGGGGAGTGAATCTGTTGTAAGTAAAGATTGAGTTGGGAAGGGGAAAAAATAGTAGCTGTAAACAAGATCACCAATGCTTAGCTCTGTTCCTGCCATCAAACTGGTTTTCATCCCCCTCAATCCTGGCTGTACCCTGAAGCCTTAAAAAGCTCAGGATAGCGATACTAAATTAGTGTAAACAAAGGGAGAAAAAACAGAACCAGGAGAGCATTATTAGGTTTTTTTTTAAAACCAAGAACTGGTATTTTTAAAATGTTTGTTAACAATACTATTTAAAATGGAAATGACTAGAGAAAAATTGGCATATGCAAATGATGTGTAAATAAAGCCTGTGACTATGCTATCCCTTCCTTGAAGATTCTACCAAGAATGCAGACTTACTGTTTTTTAGTTTTGGGACTTATATTTTGAAAGGCAATTCCCATAATGAGTGGTCCAGGTTTGGGTGTATGCCTGGGGCTAATAGGTGAGAAAAGGGAGTGGGATTTGCCTTTTGATCTCTCCCACAATCTCCTTCTACAACTACCAGTGCAATTTAGGGGTTCACAGGATATAGGATTAAATCCCTATTTCCCCCCACGCCACCCCCACCGTCCCATAGGACACACAAGATTTCCATGATGCCGGCAGTACACTCCAGTACAATTCCACCCACTATACACTCTCTCATTACATACAATTCCTTTTAGTTTCCAAATCACTACTAAGCAGCTTTCTTTGTATCTCCCTGTTTCCCACAAGCTGTTTTCTATGTCTGGAGCGCCTTAACAAATTTCACCATGTTCTCCCATCAACCTTTGACTCTTCTTCCTAAATGCTGTGCAAATGTTTCCTCCTTTGTACGGTCTTCAGTCACCCCCCTTCCCCCATTCCCTTCCATCTTCAATCCTTCAATCAACAAATATTGAGACTCTGGGTACAACTATTACTAACACAAATTACATGCAATTACAACCATTTGTTTCTAAGCCAGTCTCCTCTAGATTCTTGATTTTTTGAAAGCGTCTTTTCCTCCTATCAGTTCTCAGCCCTTAACACGGAGCCTGGCACAGAATAAGGCTGAGCAAAAGCAAACGCCTCGGTCTGCTGCGGGGACACGGAGCGATCAATCTGTGTGCTGACTTTCCTGCTGGGCATTTCAAAGGCAGTTTGGCTCATAAAGTTGGAGAACGAAGCCTCTGGCAAACGGAAAGCGTGTTCCCCAGTGGATTCGATCTATGGCACAGCCTACGCCCACACCGATTACTCATCTGTGACTTCAGCCGCGTCTCTACCACCTCCTCCAGAAAAAAAGGGGAAAAAAAAAAAACCCGCGCCAAAATGTTTTACAACTCCCTCCTCCCACTCTTCAACTTCCAAGGCAAGGGGTGAAGGCTTGATTCTAAGCCAAGGAAAAGGAAAATTTGCATTAGAGCTCACAACCCCTGGTTTCCCCGGAATTGCACCAGCGGAACAGCTCTCCCCTGGTCCACGCCTCAAAGCCCCTGCCCCGCCCCCAGCTATCTATTAATTCAGCCCCCGCTCGGAGTCAGTAGTTTCCCTCACTAGCTGAACCCCCCAGGGAAGCTATTATGCATCCGGCTGAGAAACAGGAAGGAAAGAAATCCTTTCCCCACAGTCAATTCTGCAGTTTGACCCTGGGTGGGGGCGGGGGCCGAGGGTGGTAGAGCAAGCAAAGTTGTGAAGCTCGGACTTTGCAAGTTTTTGGTGAAAACCCGGGGCTCCTGGTGGAGGCGTGAAGAGTTGGTCCACGTCTTTTACCCACCTCTTCTCCTGCCGGCTCCCCCGGCTCCCCCATGGCACCCCCAGCCTCTGGGTCGCTAGTACTGGCCGTTGGCGCGCTCCCAATGGCCTGGACGCGCCCCCAAAGGCTTCAGGGGGACACCTCCAAGCCCATTTAGTCCCTTCCGTCAGGACGTGGGTCTGCTGCTGCCATATTGAAAAGAAGGAAACAGCTCCTGACGCAGACTGGCTGAGTCCCAGGGGACTGAGCGCACTGTCTCTCCCGGGGGCGCCTGGTTGGCAGCAGCCTGTGTGCCTCTCAAGTTCAGTGAATAAGCGTGAAGAGATTTTTCTTCAAACCGTGAGGGAACGGATTTCAATTCCAGAGCGGAAAACGGCAAGAATAAGCTCTACCCAGCTGCAAAGGCTTCGTTCAGCCTGGCTGCGCCCAGCCCAAACAATAAATAATGCAAACCTTCTCTCTCCAAGCCTGCTGGGGCGAGAGCTGAAGAAGCGCCTGCTCTTTGCCACCGGGCTCAGGAGAGTGCAACCTGGAGCTCACACTTGGGAGATCGCGCTCCAGTCCCGCCAGTCCCTTTGGGCCCCAGAAAGTTTCTTGCAAGTGCAAACTCTTACCTGACCCAAAAGGTCATAGCCCAGCTCCTCGGCTATGGCCGAGGCTGCTTCTGGTCCCCCAGGGATCTCCGCCGCCCATTCGTTTACAAACTGCCTCTTCGCTTTTACACTGTTCAATGCACACCAAGTGCAAAAGAGAACGAAAGCAGTACACTGCAGAGTCCAGGCTCTTCGCTCCATGGCTCACACACTCCCTTGCACAGAGGTGGGAAGCAGAGGAGGGAAAGAAGCAAGATAGGAGAAAAGCCAGAACGATTCGCTCTTCCCACCCTCGGGGTCTGGACCACTTCTCGCTCCGGTTGCTCTGCAAGGAGATAGGAGGGACGCGAGGAGAGGCTGGGCGGTGGTGGCAAGCGCTAAGTGCAGTTCTTTCGTCTCCCGGCTGAGTGGAGCCCCAGCCCTTCCCAGCTGGAATGGAAATGAGTGTTTACACGTCAAATCTACGAAAGCCATCTCTTGACGTCAGATCTACCTGGACTAAGATCTGGATGGTATTCCTGGCGGGGTGGAGAAGCGGCTAAAATAAGCAACGAGGGATTATGAAAAGGAAGGAACCGTTTGCTGGGATCAGTTCTCTGTCCCTGTCTGATCGTAAATTCTGTAGCTGTGAGAAACACCTTCACGTCTCAAAGAGAAGTGCCCCCGTTTAAATATAACTACCAAGAACCAAAAGCTAGGCTTGCAGCACACTTTCCCTCCTTCCTGTCCTTTTTCTTTATATTTACATGGTTATTATTATGTGAGGAAAAGGAGGCAGAGAGATTCTTATAATGGCCCTGGGGATGTCAATCAGCACCTGCTACAAAGAGCAGGTCTCTTAAATCTTTCAAATCGGGAAGAAGCTGGAGGGCAGTAGGAGGGAAGCTTCTACTCCCCAGATCCTGATCTAAATTGCCTAAGAAAATGAACATGTCTGTACGACAATGTTAGGGCAACATCTTTAAAAGTGTGTTTTAACCCATTCAAACCACCTTAATTAACAAGTTGACTTTCTTCTTTCTTTCCTCTGTCTCAGTCTCAGGCAAACAATATCTAAAATTATATCCCAGACATTGCAGAGCCCAGTGTCACCGCTTTACAATGCTTATCAGAAAAAAAAAAAAAAAAAAAGATTAGGCACACGATTTTTTTTAAGAAAATCATTTCCTTTATTCATCAACCAGGGGCTCAAAGGACTCAAATGCTGTTGTGTTGACTTGAGGAGAGAAGGAGCAGGTTTTATTAACTCCGAACTTTCCATTTTTCCTACATTAGAGCTCTTTCCTTTGGTGTTGAACTGAAGCTGTACCATTACTTTCCCATAAAATGTACAATATCTCTTTGTGGAAGGATGTTTTTCCGTGGAAAGAGAACAAACAAATGCCTAAATTAACCACCCCCTCACCCCAAGGAAATGAGTTTATTCTACCTTGTTGGAGGCTCATTCCCCCCCTGAGGGGATGAACCTGGCGGGAAAAGCCCGGGTATTCAGTATTCAGCACCGAGGAGTGGACAGCGCCACACGCTCCGTGGTCGGAGCTGCCCTGCCTTCGGAGCCCCGAGCACTGCCGCCCTTCCGCAACTGGCCAGGACCAAGCTGTGTTTCTTTTGTCCTTGCCTTTCTCTTCTTCTAAACAGAAAACAGGAAATTGACTGCAGGGAGGAGTGTGGTTTAGGTTCCTGATCGTGACCACTTACAGGGAACTCACAGGGACGTGTTGGACTCAGCCCAAAAGTAAAATTGCAGGGGATCAACTCGCCTGTGTGGAAGGTTTCGTTTCTTTTTTTAAAACGCTCCCAACCGCCGGGGGGCGCAGCCTATTTTAGACAGAAGAAAGGGGATAAGATTACGAAGAGGGCATATTAACTTGTGAAGAAAGGAAGCAAAAGATATCCTTTACAGGAAGCAAATTAAACTACGTTTAGTGGAGAGTGAGGCTGAGTAGTGCTAATTATTCCTTTGCCTCCATGTTTGCAGAAATGTGGGAGACATTGATAATTTCTTTAAACATAATGCTTCTTAACAAAAACAAATGCCAGTGTTAATCGGCTATGTGATGCAGTTAGGTGGATCACGATAATGTAACTCTCACATGAGATGTGGAATGAGCTCAGATTAATAGCTCTTCTGTCTGCTCTGTACATTGACATGTGTGAGTAGTGTTGATGGCTGAGTGAACTGCCCTCTTCTCCAGCCTGTATGGTGGCCTCACACTCTTAAAGCGTTTCATTCTCACAATAGACAGATGCTATGTGCTAGCAAAGCAAAGGAAACTTTTGGCTCATGTTTAATAGTGGTAGGTATGGTTAGAGCAGGAATATGTTTGCCCCTTTCCGATTATTGTTCAAGAAAATCAGTTTGGCAGAGTGTTGGTAATGAGGCCAGGGTCGCATTAATGAAATATTTGTCTTAAAGGGAGCACTATGCAAGCCTGGAATAAACATTTGGTTGAAGTACTTAATAGGTTAAACTACTGCAGGAAGGTAATATCTCCATCCAAACAATATACATCAGTAATTTATTCTGAAATTTTCTGAACTTTATCTGATGGACTGTATTTGCCACAATTTCTGGGGTGTAGATGAAATGAATGTTTGCTAAGGGTGCATATATAGATGTAGAATCCATCTTAACTTTGCCATATGATGGGGTCGCTAGTTCTATCCTGCCATGTGGATCAGAGTAATAACTTCCAGGACCCCCAATGTTTTTTAAAATATATGTCATGAATTAGAAGAGCCAATTACTACTCTTCAGTTAGTTTTAATAACATTAGACTCATCTGATTAATTTATATATAATACAGGATCATTCAGAAACTGAAGAAGATTGTATTTCTATTATGAATTATCCAGTGAGTGTCATGTCGTGGAGAGTAACAGCAGCAAGGCTAGTATGAGCAGGAAGTAAGAATATATTCAGAGATCTATAGATCACCACACTTCTTTAGTCTTAAAAACAATTTTTAAACCTTTTCTTACTGTGAAATAAAATGACAAGTGCACAAAACAGTGTGCTCTATAATTTATCACAAAAAGTGAGCACTGTGTGATCATTGAGGTCAAGAAAAAAAACTTTGCTAGCCGTTCAGAATAATATTCCAAGATTTTCAAGAGGCATAGGAGGAGTGAGGAAATACCGTAGGTTTAACATTTTCCAGTTGTTCAGGCTTACCTGTTTCCTTTGGATAATATTAACTATATAGTAAGACAAATCTATAATTAATTAGTCTGCAATTAAACTAGAAGATATTTGATAACAGAACATATTATAGAGGCAAATATACCTATAACAGTGTTTCCCAACATAGAAAATAACAACATTTGCATGACATGCTGGGGTAAACTGGAGGAAATTTGAGGACACCTGTATGGAGCTTGCTAAAGAGATTTATTACATCTTCTTTATATAAAAGAATTTCGGTAAGAAAATGCATTATAATATTTGGGGAAGTATATTAAAATTGAATATAGATTAAATTGAGAAATATGAAAATACTTCTATCTATATAACTTTTTATCTCAAGTTTTATGTTTGAAAGCTTATATATGATTTCTAATAAAACTGTTTTATGATCTTTTCAAATTCTTGATAGCTGCTGCCAGTTAAAAATCTTACTTGCAGAAATAAAGAATAAATATTTTGAAACAACTTTTACAACCATCAAAACATTTGCAACATTTGATTTTAAATATAGCAACTCTTCTTTTATTTTCCTAACTAAATTGACCATTGGAATGTCATAAAAGGATGCTATAGGTTTAAAATCCACCTAAATTTTGTATGCTAAATATTACAATTTATATTGAAATTCTTGAAAATACACATGCCTTTTAGAGATGTTGCCATGCACCTACTTTGCCACAAATGGATAAGCATGTTAAATGTATGGAAAGACTGATAGCGGGGCCACCACCTAAGATACACAGCTGACCTACTCATTGCCTATCTTTCTGTGGCCAAATTTTGGTGGGCATGCCATGGTAATTAAGCACTTAGAACATGAACTCCTCCAGCAGATCCACAGATCCTTTTCCTGTGATGGAAAAGGACATGCTTGCAGTAAGTTGTTGAAGTAGATATCAAAGTGATAGATATTGATTCAACTTGTTGAGCCAATTCCCATGAGGGGTAGGTGTCACTAATTATTTTTTAAAGATCATTTATTTATTTTTAGAGAGAGAGGAAAGGAGGGAGAAAAAGAAAGGGAGAGATACATCAATGTGAGAGAGAAACATTGATTGGATTCCTCTTGTATGTGCCCCCACCAGGGACCAAACCCACAACCCAGGCATGTGCCCTGACTGGGAATCAAACTGGTGACCTTTTACTTTGCAGGTGGATGTCCAACAAACTCAGACACACTGGTCAGGGCAGTGTCACTAACTGTGCTTGGCTAATTGGTAATCTGGTTGGGTCTTCTTCCCAGGACCCCAGGATCAGGCAAATAACCTGGTCTTCCCAAAGGATAAGAAGATGAAATATCGTAAGGAACATCTATAATTTTACCAGCTGGGAAAGCTCTGTTCTATAGAAATGGAAGTAAGATAATAATAAAGCAAAGTCTGTGCACTGAAAGGCTCTGAGGTGGGTAACTTAAGGGACTTTGTGAATGAACTAGACAACCACTTAAAGTCTTGAATTTAAGATAAAATTGAATTATTAGGATTGAAGAAATGAGTGCTATTAATTACAATTATTGAAAACAATTAGTCATTTCTAATGAAAGCTGATAATTAAATATAGTCACATACAAGTATTTATTAACCATTTTCTTTCTTTAGAACAAGTTATTTTTATTTATTTGGTTTGTTTGTTGCTTTTTGTTTTTGTTGTTGCTGTTCTTTTTTTATTGTTATTTCCATTACCATTTAGTCCCCTTATATCCCCCTCCCCCACATAATCACCGCACTGTTGTCCACGTCCATGAGTCCTTTTTGCTCAGTCCCTCCTCCCTCTAACTTGCCCCTGCCATGGCCGTCCTCCTACTCTCCATCTGCCTCTATTATCCTTGTATACTTCAGTTTGTTCGTTAGATTTCCACACATGAGTGAAATCATAGGGTATCGGTCTGTCTCTGACTGGCTTATTTCACTTGATATAATGTTCTCCAGGTCCATCCACACTGTCGCAAAAGGTAAAATTTTCTCCTTTTTTATGGTCGAGTAGTAGTCCATTGTGTAAATGTTCCATAGTTGTTTTATCCACTCATCTACTGATGGACACGTTGGCTGCTGCCATATCTTGGTGGTTGTAAATAATGCTGCAATGAACATAGGGGTGTTTTTATTCTTTCCAATTAGTGTTTTGGGTTCCTTCAGATAAATCCCCAGAAGTGGGATTTCTGGGTCAAAAGGCGGATCCATTTTTAATCTTTTGAGGTATCACCATACTGCTTTCCACAGTGTCTGGACCAAACTGCATTCCCACCAGCAGTGCAGAGTTCCCCTTTCTCCACATGTGTTCTCCCCAGTACTTGTTGTTTGCTGATTTATTGATGTTAGACATTCTGATAGGTGTGAGGTGATATCTCATTGTAGTTTTCATTTGCATTTCTCTGATGATTAGTGATGCTGAGCATTTTTCATATGTCTA